TTTTTGTTTTCATTCAATATTTTCAATATTGCTTACCTCCATACAGATGCACATAGGCTTTGAATTTGAATAACATGAAGTTTTGTAATCAATATTTGATCCTTGAGGTCTATAGAAAATTATTGTTATGTGTGCTCTGAGATCAATAATAAGTTCACAAACAACTTCAGCTTGATCTGGTACATTAAACTGTGTGCCTTGCAAACAAATTAGTTTGAATTTACTGTGACATTTACTTACCATTTGGTTGATAGAATAGCAAGAAGATAAATAAAGTAAAATGAGTAAATTCAGAAAGATATATGGTAATAAATTCAGAAGTGTCCCTGTAACCTTTCTCATTGTCTGCTAAGAGTACAATTTTCAGATGTTTTTCATTTACTTTGATGCTTCCTTTATGCATTAAAAAAGTCGAAGAGTTTTCTTTTCATTTTATTGCTCCAAACACTCATGAAAAATTTGAAATACTTATTTTGCAAAGCAAATGCAGGAGGAACAATTTGACATGGTCTATTGTAAAGTATATCATAGGATATCTTTATGAAAGGAAAGATACAAGCAGAAAGACTAATAAAATTAACTATAAAGGAAGAGTTAAACTGCATGTAACTTATAACATTACAGTGGGACTCTTGTCCGACCTCCACCCTTATGAATTTAAAATGTTTGAGTTTCAGTTATATGAATTTAATAACTGTATAAACTGCCTAAGAAAATTGATTTCTTCATTGATCATAGCAAAGTCAAAAACAGCAGTCACAAAATAGGAAAGTAGCATTTTGAGAAAAAAATTATTGAGCTTTTTGGACATACCAGAATTAATGAGAGTTTAAGAAATATTAAATCAACATCTTCACCAAGAAGAATTGATATTATGGTCAGATGACATAATATACCTTTTTATTTGTTAAAAATACAAAAGATTCATTTCACCTATAGGAAGTGTAATATTAAGTATATTTTTAGCTAAAAGCTCAACCATAAGTGCCCTGAAATAGATGCCACAAAGTCCTGGGCCACAATTCACTACAGACATATCCAAAGGTTGACAAAATGCACTGGAAATAATTAAACTAAAATGATAATTCTTTCTGAATTGCAATATAGAAAATCAGTTTTGTTATTGTGACACTGACCTGCACAAAATATACCCAATAATCCTACACTTCGTTGAATTCCCTAGTTCTAAGATTGTAGTAGAGGATTGCATTAGGAGACTATTCAGAATAATAGTGTTTTGTTCTAATATTAGATAACAAATGCTAAAGAGCAGCAAAAACTAGTTTTCTGCACATTGCTTTTTTTTTTTGAAGCCCTGTTCATTTCTCTACACAAAGTGGTGTTGATGGAGCTAATTTGATTGTTGTCTGACTCAGCACAATATCTGTTGTTTAACAATGGTCTTTTTAGAGATACTGTTTTTGAGTCAGGTTTCACCTAATCTGTACTTGTACCTTTGGTTTTTTTTTCTGCCTAATTGTAAAACCTTGCTTTTCTCTACATTAAATTCCATTTTGTTGGATAGGGTCCATTGTTCAAATCTGCCAAGATCCTTTTGCATTTTAAATAAATACAGTATATTTATTATACTGTAAAAAATAATATAGAGGTTAAAAGGTGCCACAGAAATGAATTTTTGCTGACAATTCAGTCAACTTTATTTATAAAAAAATGAATCTGCGTATTTGGAACACAAATACCGAAAGCATGTGTTTCTGATATTTTTATGAACACATATATTGTTGATAAATCCAATGGTCATTCAGGAAATTTATATTAAAACGAATAGCACACAATAGGAAATGTTTCATTTAAAAAGAACATTGAGAAAATGTATGTGAAAATGTTGCACTGATAATTATATATTGAAAACTGTACTTATTAATGATTAAGTACAAAAGATTGTTATGTCTGAGAATGCTACAACAAATGTAGCATTTTTATATTAATGCCTAGGTAATGTTAGATAGTATCTATGTTAGAATGCTAACATATTTAAGTACAAGGGAACAATCAGTTATTTGCTAGTCTTCAGTCAGCCATTTAATTCTTTTTTATTTTTAGTTTACAAAACATTGTTTATTAAAGCATTACCTACAGGGTCTAATGATAGAGTAATTTTTTTAATTAAACAAAAGACATTATCCATGTTTATTGCTGACTGGAAGACCCTTAAAGATTTTTTTGCATAAAAATGAAAACAAAAGAATTATGGTTCTGTTGATTAAACAGGACAGGTAATAAAAGGAGATTATGATGTAATTTTAGACATGTGATATATATTTGTACTTATAACTGCAATGAAGAATATTGGAAGCTATTTCTTTATACTTTCTTTTTTTTCTATTTTTTCTTAATTTCTTTTCTTGCAATTTTTTTCCCTTTTGGTTCTCTCTTTTTTTCTTTCTTAATGTTACTAATTTATGCTGGCCTTTATTTTGTTTGAAAGTTTTAATAAAAAAATTATATACACACACACAATATATATATGGACACGGACACACACATACACACACACACACATATATACAAAAAATCTGTGGCTCCATGGAAGTCACAAGGAGAAAGTCAAAATTAGTGGATGTTGCATCATGATTAAAACTTGGTCTGTTTGTAGATGCATATTGTCATCATACAGGTAGTCCTCGAATTACAATCATTACTTTTAACAGTACAGGTTAAACTTACAACCACAATTGAGCCCAAAATTTATGTTGCAAAGTAAGACATTTGTTAAGTGAGTTTTGCTCCATTTTATGACTTTAGTTGCCACAGTTGTTCAGTGAATCATTGCAGTTATTATTGAGTTTTCCTGTCAGAAGGTCACAAAAGGGGATCATATAACCCTGGGACACTGCAACCGTCGTAACTATGAAACAATTGCCCAGCCTCTAAATTTTGATCATGCGACCATGGGGATGCTGCAATGGTCGTTAAGTATGAAAATGGTCATAAATCACTTTTTTCAGTGCTGTTGTAACTTTGAATGGTCACTAAATGAACTGTTGTAAGTTGAGGACTACCTGTACTACCACCCCCAGTGTCATGTGACACAATTTGGGTACCTGGCAACCAGCTTGACAACAGTTGCAATGTTCTGCAACCTTCCCTGCCAGCTTCCAACAGTGAATTTGGAAAGCCAGCTGCTTATTGATGGTGGGATTCACTTAACCAGGTGGTTAACTTAATGACCATAGTAAAAACAGTCATAAAATCAGTTCTCTTCACAGGATGATTTGCTTAACTGCATTACTTTAGTGACTGAAATTCTGGTTCTGGTCGTAACTCAAGGACTACCTACATATACAAAAGGAAAAGGGCTTCCATTACTCCGTGTTTTTAATGAAGAAATAGTATGTTTAAAATGCTGAACTGATTCAATCAAAGAATTATGATATCTAAACATGAAGGTAGATCTATTTCACAGTAATTTTAGTAGCGTGGCAGAGTTGAAATGGTGACAGGCCTTTCTGAATGCAGAACACTTGTGGTATAACAGATGGCATGGTTGTTAACGTTCCTAATATGAGTACTTTTGTGACTATTATTTAATATACAAGTGTCCCTCAGAATGCAAAGTTCTGTCTAATCAGAAAAGGACCTTCCCTTTTTTTTTCAAATTACTTCTGCATTCAGTTGTGAAACTTCCATTAGTTCCAGAATGTGCAGATAGGTTGCTACTGTTATTATGATAGGCTGGAATGCAATCTTCACATTTTAAAGACTCTAAATGTAACTGTCCTGTTAACTATGTATTTTAATTTAAACCAAGAAAGGCAGCATAAGTAAACAGAAAATAGTCAATACTCAGGAGCGATTCAGTTTTCCGCAGAGTGAAGAGAACTAGATACCTTTTGATAATGCGTAGTTTAAAGGATTTTTATTCAGTTTGGGTAATAATGCATTTTACATTTCTCAACAATTTTCAAGCCTTTCAGCAATCACACACACAAAAAACTCACAATACACAGTTCTTAGTAGAGGAAACACTCTCAAGAAAAGCACTGCCATGGCAACTCTAATGTAAACTCGTTAAACAAACTGGCACAATTCATGATACAAATATCCTACATTCAAAACTACAAAATTATTGCTAAGATGTGTTTCGCTTTGGTAGACATCTACTTGAACAGGCAGACCAGATTTATCAAATTATAATTGTATATCCAAATCAGCCAATATAATTCTGATCTTAGAACTCCGCCAAATGTTTAAGAAGTTTGTTGAAGCAAAAGTTATAAACAAAACTCTTATGTTGCCATAGTTTTTCTTGTGTATGCCCACTGTTATTCTTTCTAAACGTGCTTCAGCTTCAGTGCTGTTTGTGTTTGTGTATACATACTCACAAATGTGTGCTTCAAGAACAGCATGGGTTTGGCCATGTAGCAAAAACATACAGTGCTGTCTATAGCACAAATGAGCACTGAAATAACAAATTGCTCTTGTCCCAATATACAACCTCTGCTATTTTGTACTTATTATAATATAATATAGTATAGTATAATATAGTAAAGCTCAACTTGGCCTTCTTCAAGCTTCAATAGTCTGCTATTCCCAAGAAAAAACATTGGCTGTAGTTGCATAACATGCTTGTACATGCTTAGCTTAAACATGGTTTACACCATTTTCTGAGCAATACAATAAATATAATGAATTTTAAGGGATACAGTCAATAATAAATAAACCATATACCTGGATGTGAACAATGCATTAAAGTAAAATATGCTTATCTAATTTTTGGTTATATGCATTATACAAATGCATCCATTTTTCACCAGTTTGTGATGAAATTAACACTTGTCAGCCAGCTCCTAATGTATTCTAAAGACTGTGTTAAGTTTTTTTTTTGTTATTTGCTAATGAAACATCTGTTAAATAGAAGCAATGAGACCTACACATGCTTAATTTTATTTTATTATTTTTTTAAAAAATATATTAATGCCAGTTTATTTATTCTGGTAAGGAAACGAAAACCAAAGGAAGTAGCAACCAACATTGAATGATATCAAAATAGTTCTTTTAATGGAACATAAACATTTCATAGCTCTTGATTCTTTATTACAGTCATGTTTATGAAAGTTTTAAAGAAGTTGCTACACTCAGTTGAGATTGTGGTATAAATTGGCACATGAAGTACAATTTACCTGTCCATACATACACAACACTTCTCACTCTTACTCATTCATACTAACTTACATGATGCATATACATTGTGACTAAATCCACATAAGGCCTAAAGCACATACAACGAAATTTCTAAAAATAACATATTCTACATTGGTAACAAGTCTGCTGTGCTGTATTTACAACTAATGATCTGGTACTGTGGATGGCAATTTGCTTAAGGATTATTTTTGTGAACACACATTTGAAATGTTCAAGTTGTTGTCAACTATCAAATCAGATATATATCTACAAGAAGATCTGTATGATCATGGACAAATATTCTAAGGCAATTGTAGTTTGTTCCACAGAGTTTGTGCTGCCATTGTTATAATTCCTTTTTTTCATGTCTAGAAAGCTGTTCCTTTTAATATGCAACAAGGCATAATGAGTCATTTCTGATTAGCAGGTTATTGGCTCAAAAATCTAGTATCTTGGGATATAGAGATTTCTTTTAAAGTTCATGGAATAGCACCATAGAAATAGTCTTTGCCACCACAAAAGGAAAAAAAATCTTCTTTTCAATTGCTTGGGAATCCTTTTTGTTTGCCCAAAACAACTCTTTCTTCTTTTTTATTGGCTTAAAATAATAATAAAATAATTAGTTCATTCACAAACATTTCCAAGGAAATGTAGATTAACAGTTCATTTTTGCCACTGGAATGAAATTTATGATTGACGTTTGGGGTTATTCTGGTCCTGATTCCATCTGCTGATCACTAGGAAGAAGTCTGCCTTCAGCTGGCAGAAGACCAATTCTGATTTGGTTCTTAGTCTTATGTGAGAGCTTAGCATACTACAGTACTTCAGCAGTAATACACTTCATACACTCAGTTACTAACAATATCCAAAGTCTGAATGCATTCATAGTGATCACGAATGTAAAACAATCAGTTCTACTTTGTTATTGTAACCAAAACTGCCCACAGATTTAATGATTTTGCAGATACAGGTTTCCAGATTTTATATGAATACGTGGAGAGATAGAAAAAAAGAATCAGGTTTCCTCTTCTCTCAACTTTTCTCTGTACATTTTAAATCTTGGATATGCCACCAATGCAATTAGAATAGGAAAAATACAAAGACAACATTTCAAGTGCATGACCTGGTAGCAGGTGAGTTTTTCTCCTCTCCTGGACTCAAGTCACTTGTCAAAAAGTTACAGTCAGCAGGATCTTTTCCTGTTGTTGAAGATGGAAACAACCCTGACATTTGTCAAGCTGTGAACAAAGCTCTTAGTCTCCTTCGAAGCATGCAATATCTTTTCATCAGTTTGCGAAGACAACCATGAACGGAGACCATATGTCTTGGCCATAATGTCTGTTCCTCTACCCAGAGGAGTTTATCCAAGAATGAGATGTTTCAGTTTTTCTTCTGTTTGAAATCATGGGATAAAAATCTTTGCTTTTTTATTAACATTGTCAGTATTTCTTTAAAGAATCCCTCCACCTCTTCAAACAGTCATTCTCTGCTTAATTTTGTGACTTAAGGGGTGTCTTGTGTTATTTTTGAGTGTGAACATTATCTTGATACTTTATACTTTTGTATCGTATATGAAAGCCTTTTTTGTTAATGGTGTCATCTGTATGAAAATGGAGTAAAACAGAATCACCTGCTGAATAAATTTCTTCAGGGGGCTGTAGGAAAAAGAAAAAATAGAGAGGCTTACCAAGGCTATTCTAGAAATAACAATAAATCATTCACTCTGCAGTAATTACGCTGTCCTTTTATCTGAAATACTCAAAAAAATGCATTATAACAGTTTATGTTTCTTCTACTATGGCCAGTGAATAAAATAGTGCTGTTTTTTTAAAAACTTAAATATTTGAAAATTGGGATGACAGATGCAGCCGTATGCTGTACCTTTTTTCTCCATTTTTATTTAAAGCCAAGGCAGTATGAAGGGCTGTGAAATAAAGCTGGTAAAAACTAACTTAAGCCATTTCCTTTTTGTTATTTTTTTTCCCACTCAAAACTGCCCAGCCTAGACTATGCATTTCACCTGCTCTGTGAACAAAGAAAACTAAAAAAAGAACAAAAGACTCTTCCTCCACTTTTCCATCTTCAGCTTAAAGACAATTTGCCTAACTTTTCATTGAACTAAAATCTGCCTTGAATTAAAAATAATGGTTGTGTTTGCTGTTGACAGTGTTGGCTGCCACAATTGTTTTGTTTTCAGGCAGCACCTTTGAAATCATTTTAAACAATAATAGAAACCTAAAATCCTTATTCTTCTATACTATGTATTGTTTCTGTCTACCTGCTTCTCAGTAACAAAATCAATCTTGTCAAATTATCAAAAATTATCTGATTCTGTTAGCTTTAAGAAACAAATACTCTGACTGCAAAAAGCTAAACTACAGGTACAATCTTTTACACAAGTTGCAGGAGTAATTTTTTTTTTCCTAAGCAGTAATCCCTCCACCATACTGAAGCTTTCTTTAAACTTAGAGAGATTTTTCTTGTAATAAACTGTGTGGACATGAAGGTCTTCTACAGAAAAATGGAAAACAACAGAAAGATGCTGGTGCATAGGCATCTCTATTACACATTTACATAATACACATTCTGATATTTCATGGAGAAATTTGATCACTGCAAAACTTAAAAGTGACCTACCCCTGATCCACAAAACCGGCCAATCCTCAGAGCAGATGTATCATGACCATCAAAGACTTCTAAGTAGTCATACCCACAGTCCGCTTCTTCTTCCACCTCAAACGTCTGAAAAATTAACTCTATTCGATAGCCATGGTCTGACACCAGCAACCACTCGCAATCTGTTTGAACTGGGTAATTATTATCTCCGAACTGAGCATGAGAGTAAAGGTCTCCCATCTTGCTTTCAGCTCTCAGCCGACCACCACACTCTGTGTAAGATGGGGGAAAAGAAAAGATGTGTGCCTTAGTTCTAGTTTTGAAAGGATCAGATTAATTTTTCTACCATGATTGAGAAGCACCAAGAACAAAAGAAGAACCACTAGATGTCAGTATAAACAAAGAAATAGAAATCACAAGACATTATTTGATTGCAGCAGGACAAAAACCTTAATTGCTGGCAGATACTTTTTTTATGAAAGAGTTTTGATCACCAAGACCTTATATTTCAGCTTGATTTAAATTATATTCTGCAGCAAAACACTACGATTTGGTTTTCCAAAAAATAACAGAATAGATTATTAAAATGTATTCTATGCATTTAGTATATGTATTTAAAATATATTCTGTTTTCTCAACAAGGAACTTAATTAAACTTTCACCCACAATGGTGTTAAACATGTATCCACTGAAGTCACTAAGAATTATTTTCACACCTGTTGAATGGGTTGCTTGGAAGCCTTTTCTTTGAACTGATGCATCAGAGACAAATCGAAGAAACATTTTATTTCCTGTGGCAATAAGAGGATCTGGTATCTTATTTCCACATAAACGCCCCAGAATTGGGGATTTTTCATTTTCTCCATCAAACACCTCCAGATGGTCATAAGCACATTCCTGATGTTGTTCAATTTCAAACTCAATAAATACCTGGAAAAAATAGCAAAATATTAATACAGAACTTAAGTGTGTCCCAAGTACAGTTATACTATAGTCTTACTGATCAGAATCATTCTAAACATTAAGAGTAAAGGTGATATCGGAAGAAGCAAACGATGAAATAATGAAGATCTAATTTAGCACAAGTATTTATCAGAACTCTGGAGATGATAATGATGATGATTATTATTATTAATAATAATAATAACCCCCAGTGAGGCACTACCTTGACCCCCAGTGAGCCACTATCTTGACCCCCAGTGAGCCACTATCTTGACCCCCAGTGAGGCACTACCTTGACGTGATTGTGGGGCTTGTGTACTCTGAGGAAGATGAGAGCTATGCCAGAGGTTCAACCATACTGGACAGGTCTCATCAGAGGAGTCAGACAAAGAGTGTCTCTCCCATAAAAAATATGATGAGACGTAAATTTCAGAATGCCATACCGGCTCGGATGTCGCCTGAATTAACAAGGTGCGCGATAGATATTGGAGACTGGAGAAGATAACAAAATACAAAGACCTACAAATAGAAATAGAAAGACTGTGGCAAAAGCAAGCAAGGGTAGTACCAATAGTAATAGGCTCCTTGTGTGCAATCCCAAAACAACTGGAGCACCACTTGAACACCACTGGCATTGATAAATTCGCTATTAGTCAATTGCAAAAGGCGGCCTTACTAGGAACTGCTTCCATCCTGCGACGATATCTGTAATACCATCAAATATCCACATCTGCCTATCCCAGGTCCTGGGTAAGGACTCGATAGGTAGACAAAATGCCAAATCCAGTCTGAACATCTGGCTGACTGTGCGATGATCATAATAATAATAATAATAATAATAATAATAATAATAATAATAATAATAATAATAATAATAATAGCAGAATAGAAGAGAAAGAACTGGAGAAGATAACAAAATACAAAGACCTACAAATAGAAATAGAAAGACTGTGGCAAAAGCAAGCAAGGGTAGTACCAATAGTCATAGGCTCCTTGGGTGCAATCCCAAAACAACTGGAGCACCACTTGAACACCATTGGCATTGACAAATTTGCTATTAGTCAATTGCAAAAGGCGGCCTTATTAGGAACTGCTTCCATCCTGCGACGATACCTGTAATACCATCAAAATCCACATCTGCCATCAAACATCCACATCTGCCTATCCCAGGTCCTGGGTAAGGACTCGATAGGTAGACAAAATGCCAAATCCAGTCTGAACATCTGGCTGACTGTGCGATGATCCATAATAATAATAATAATAATAATGATGATGATGATGATGATGCACAGACTGACTACAAGCAGTGGCATGACAAAGTAGCAACAATGGTGCATTGGAAGATCTGCAAGATCATTTGCCTGTAAGCAAGAACTGGTGGGATCATAAAATAGAGAAAGTCAAAGCAAATGATAAAATTAAACTGCTCTGGGACTTCAGAATTCAAACAGACAAGCACCTGCAACATAACAACCCCAGACTTAACAACTGTCGATAAGAAAGACAAAAAAGTCTGGATAGTGGACATGGCAGTGCCCGGAGACAGCAGAATAGACGAGAAAGAACTGGAGAAGATAACAAAATACAAAGACCTACAAATAGAAATAGAAAGACTGTGGCAAAGGCAAGCAAGGGTAGTACCAATAGTAATAGGCGCGTGCAATCCCAAAACAACTGGAGCATCACTTGAACACCATTGGCATTGACAAATTCGCCATTAGTCAATTGCAAAAGGTGGCCTTACTAGGAACTGCTTCCATCCTGCAACGATATCTGTGATACCATGAAACATCCACATCTGCCTATCCCAGGTCCTGGGTAAGGACTCGATAGGTAGACAAAATGCCAAATCCAGTCTGAACATCTGGCTGACTGTGCGATGATCAATAATAATAATAATAATAATATAATAATAATAATAATAATAAATAATAAAAACAACAACAAAAACAACAATTGTCGATAAGAAAGACAAAAAAGTCTGGATAGTGGACGTGGCAGTGCCTGGAGATAGCAGAATAGAAGAGAAAGAACTGGAGAAGATAACAAAATACAAAGACCTACAAATAGAAATAGAAAGACTGTGGCAAAAGCAAGCAAGGGTAGTACCAATAGTCATAGGCTCCTTGGGTGCAATCCCAAAACAACTGGAGCACCACTTGAACACCATTGGCATTGACAAATTCGCTATTAGTCAATTGCAAAAGGCGGCCTTATTAGGAACTGCTTCCATCCTGCGACGATATCTGTAATACCATCAAACATCCACATCTGCCTATCCCAGGTCCTGGGTAAGGACTCGATAGGTAGACAAAATGCCAAATCCAGTCTGAACATCTGGCTGACTGTGCGATGATCGATAATAATAAGTTGGAAGGGACCTTGGAAGTCATCTAGTCCAACCCCCTGCTCAAGCAGGAAACCCTATACCATTTCAGACAAATGGCTGTCCAGTCTCTTCTTAAAAACTTCCAGCGTTGGAGCATTCACCACTTCTGGAGGCAGGTTGTTACACTGGTTAATTGTTCTAACTGTCAATAAGTTTCTCCTTAGTTCTAGGTTGCTTCTCTCCTTGATTAGTTTCCATCCGTTGCTTCTTGTCCTGCCTTCAGGTGCTTTGGAAAATTGCTTGACTCCCTCTTCTTTGTGGCAGCCCGAGATATTGGAACACTGCTATCATGTCCCTTCTCTTCATTAAACTAGATATACCCAATTCCAGCAACCGTTCCTTATATGTTTTAGCCTCCAGTCCCCTAAACATCTTTGTTGCTCTTCTCTGTACTCTTTCTAGAGTCTCAACATCTTTTTTACATCGTGGTGACCAAAACTGGATGTAGTATTCCAAGTGTGGCCTTACCAAGGCATTGTAAAGTGATCTTGATTCTATCCCTCTGTTAATATAGCCTAGCACTGTGTTATCTTTTTTGGCAGCTGCAGCACACTGCTGGCTCATATTTAAGTGATTGTCCAGTAGGACTCCGAGATCCCTCTCACAGTTACTACTATTGAGCAAGGTACCACCTATACTATACCTGTACATTTGGTTTTTCTTGCCTAAATGTAGAACCTTACTTTTTTCACCACTGAATTTCATTTTGTTAGATAGTGCCCAGTGTTCAAGTCTGTCCAGATTAGTGTTTCTCAACCTTGACAATTTTAAGGCATGTGGACTTCAACTCCCAGAATTCCACACCAGCAATGCTGGCTGTGGAATTCTGGGAGTTGAAGTCCACATGCCTTAAAATTGTCAAGGTTGAGAAACACTGGTCCAGATCCTCCTGTATCTTAAGCCTGTCTTCTGGAGTGTTGGCTATTCCTGCCAGCTTGGTGTTGTCTGCAAATTTGATGAGTTCCCCATCTATCTCCTTGTCCAAATCATTGATGAAGTTGTTGAAGAGCACTGGGTCTAGAAAAGAGCCCTGGAGTACTCCACTACACACTTCCTCCATGTAGATGCGGTTCCATTGAGGACCACACGCTGAGTACGGCTGGTCAGCCAGCTATGAATTCATTTGGTGGTGATGCTGTCTAACCCACATTTTTCTATTTTATCAAGTAGTAGGTTGTGATCTACTTTATCAACTACCTTACTGAAGTCCAAGTAAATTATATCCACAGCATTCCTCTGATCCACTAATTTTGTCACTTGGTCAAAGAATGCAATAAGATTTGTCTGGCATGATCTGTTTTTGACAAACCCATGTTGGCTTTTAGTAATGACTTTGTTTGCCTCTAGGTGTTTGCTGATTCATTGTTTGATTATCTTTTCCAGAATCTTCCCAGGTATTGAGGTCAGGCTGATAGGTCTGAAATTTCCTGGATCTATTTTTTTCCCTTTTTTGAAGATGGGAACTACATCAGCTCTTTTCCAGTCGTTTCGTAGTTCCCCAGTGTATAAGTCCTTTTGTATTGGATCTAACAGTGCTCTTAATAGCTTTTTCAGTTAGCAATGCACTAAAAAGACCAGGATATTTATTCCTAGCAACTATCCATGATAGAAGTAAGAAAATCTGGATTACATCTAGTACTTGTTGATTCTTTCAACTTTATAGGATGGTTTCATGTTTTTCAGATAACTGGAAAGAAAGTCAAAGGAAAATTTCTGAAAAGCATTACAAAACTAATTTTAAAAGTATATTTTAAATCTTTTAGAAATTCATTAAATAGCCACAACTAAAAGAAAAAAGAAAAATATTTTGGTATTTTGGCTGACCACACGTTTTTAAAAGGAGGAAATTTTCATAAACCTAAACATTCAAAGATTTCTTTGATTTTCATCCCTATATATTATTTTCCTTTGTTCAATGTAAATAATTTTCAAGGTTCAGCAGTTAATAAAATATGTGGATAATAGATTTCCTTCTGATTTTCCTCTGTTGGCATGAAAAGTCTGTGACGATGAACATAAGTATAACTTGAACTAAACAGAAACAGCTCTTTAAAATTCTTGAACTGAATATATGAGCACAGAAGTTGGGTGAATAATAATTCTGAATTACTCTTGGGAAAATAGAAATTCTACCATACTGGAGATAGGAGACATACTCAGTGGTAACTATAGCATCTTTATTGAAAAATTCCTCCCCTAGGATTTAATCAAGTGTAGGGATCCACAGAAACACCAGACCTCTGGAGAGATGACTATACAATGAAAAACAGAATATACACCCATCTCATTGCTAAACAAATACAAGAACACAGTATTTGACTCAAGTTCCTTTTCTACAAAATTATCTTCTCCTTTGGTAAAATTTCAGCATCAAATTATTTTTCACCAACCTGAATATAAATTATTGGAAAAAATTATTCCTCAGCACTTCATTAGCTACAATGCTGCACTGCAGCCCAAACCTATGCAAAGTTCATACACTTGTGAGGATATTAATCACATTCTGCTAGTAACTTCCCTATAGGCCTCTTTCTTGAACATGGGAATTGGAGGCTGTAAGATGTTAAAAGTCACTGTCATACATTATTTTTCTTCATTTAAAATCCAAAGAAAATTCAGTAAACCTTTTAGGGCAGGTGTATCCCATGTTGAAAGTTCAATTGGATTACAGGAAAACACAGAATTGAATGAGAGTAGATGAAAAGTAGGCATTCTTCTATGAAAGCAGAAAAATTTTATCTGAAGTTTGGGATTTAGTCAAGCTAGATGCAGAGATTTTATAAAAAAAATGTTATTCCTATGTTTCTTTAATAATACTATTAAAAATAATAGCATTTTAATACTTAGTATAAATATAAAATAGTATTCTAAATTTGTATAGGATTTCCACTGTTTATTATTTATAAAGTTACCAATAAAAGTATTAAAAAAGAGAAAGATCTATCTTTTCTGATATACAGTTCTGATACAAATATATATTAAATGAAGTTAACATCCTTGCAGCTTTACCTCTAAGCTTTCCATCATACATGAAAACATTGAATAGGAATAAGAGCATCAGAAGAATCTTCTAGCAAATAAGATTAACATGCTAAGTCTATTTAAAAGGAATAAAATTCAACAAGAATCAAATACAGAGCAAAGAGATCTGTTAAAATGTCTTGGACAATAAGGCTGTTCTAATCTACAGACTCCCTGATGGAAGTCAGCCAAAGTACAATGTGTTGTCACTTCATATTAACAGCTGTCCTTGAGAAATTTCATATCGCTCAAGTGTTGACATTTTGGCAGTAAAATGGAAATAATCAGAACAAGCACAAGTATTGCAAGCTGAAACAGTGATACTTTCTCCTGACATACTACATTAAGATCAGACATTCTTATTAATAGAAAGAAGCTGCAGATACAATATAAACAGCTGAACTATTATCCCAAATGCCACTCATAAATTTTGTTCACTATTACTGTGCAACTTTCAAAGGGCCAATCATTGTGCTATTTGACATCTAGTTCACTTCTATTAAAAAGAGAACCAGATCTATTCAACCTGTAGGCCATAATTAATTGATGTCTCCTTTATATAAAGGAAATAAGTATGACTAAAGTGATTTTTCCAATGGAAGACTGCTAATGCTACCAGTCAAAAGCATTACATGGCTATATTGTTTTCCCTTTTCAGCAGATTTTCTTAGGCTGGCGGGGAGAGATGGATGAAATGATAGGAGGGAAAAGAGAACAGGTGAATAATTAAATTGTTTAGAGCCCATAAAACTGTAAAGATGCAGAATGGCTGCATAGTGAAGAGACTCATCTGGAAGAATTCATAGTTAGCATGCAACCCATTGTGTTTTACAGAAAAGCTGTTAGTTTTACTGTAAAATTGTATGTATGTATGCCTCAGTGTATATCACGCTGGTCACATGACCACGGTAATGTGTTTGTACAACGCTGGTTCCCTTGTCTAAGAAACAGAGACGAGTACTGACTCCTATAGTCGCACACAACTGAACAGGGGAAACAGGCACAAAAGGAAGCATGTTTCAGTGGGATTTCTTTCAAGGCAACGTGTGTAAGAATTGTGGGTTTATAGCACAATCCCATGTACAGACTTTCCATTGTGTTTAGAAAAAATTCTCCAAGGGGAATAGTACAGGACTGTACTCCTAGAACTTTACATTTAAATTATACATTACACTTCATCTTAGCCCAGTGGTGGCGAACCTATGGCACGGGTGCCAGAAGCGGCACTCGGAGCCCTCTCTGTGGGCACATGTGCCGTTGCCCCAGCCTCGCCTCCCCCCGTGACCCCTTCCTCTCCAGCAGCCCCCCTGAAGGAGAGTCGCCCCTGAGCATGGCCCACCTGGAGCAGCGCAGCCAAGGACATGACAGCCAGGCAGCGTAGACAAGACTCTGCCCTCACACCCCACATGCAGTTGATGCTGCAGGGCGCGGGCAGAGGGTGTGACCGCCATAGTGCTGCTGGACTGCCTGGGCGATCTGCGGCGGGCCCTGGAGGCCGTGAGTGGCCCTGTGGGCAGGTGGAGCGGGAGATGGGGGCGGAGCGAGTACGGAGCAGGGGTGGGGCCAGTTTTGGGGCACTCAGTCTCTAAAAGGTTCGCCATCGCTATCTTAGCCCAAAGGCCAAGAAGAATTTGATTATAACTACATTTTTCCTATAAGGTAATATAGTTATATTAAGGGTTTTTTTATTGTCTCAGTAATACATTTAACTCATTAATACTTGAAGGAAACATTTGTTTGTGTATGTGTATGTATCTTTTGTGTCTTTCCCCTTTTTCTTTCTGTTAAAACTTGTCAGTTTCTTGAAGACTGCCTAGATAAGTCCCTGCAGGACTCTACAAGGGTTGCAAGGTTTTTCAAAAGTGGTTTGCTATTGCCGCTTTCCTAGGACTGAAAGCAAGTGACCCAAGATCACCCAGTTGGCTTTGCGTATAAGACTGAACTGGTATTCATGGTCTCCCAGTTTCTGATACCTTAATTATTACACCAAACTGTCTTTCATACTGTGTGTGTTGCATCATTTCAAACTGATGGTAACCCTCTCTGCATAGTCTTGAACTGTAATTCATTATAAACACAATCAGCAAATGACCTTTCTGCAAGGCCATCCAATGACCATCCACTTACCTCCCAGAATTCTTATAACAGAGGCCAAGAACCCTGATGCCTGGTGCCTGTCCTATTGCTGCCCCCTTCCTGCTACTAATATCATGTTAGACAAATATCCTCAAAATGTTTCTGGAGATCAGAGAACCTGCTAGTCTCAACTGAGGTACAGGATCCTACACTGTTGTCTGAGTGGATGTGATTTAACAACAGCTATCATCTTATGAGGAATCAAAGGGCCTTTTCCTGAGGCAGCACAAGCAGGTAATCTTAGAGGCAAAGATTAGTTGCTATAAATGATGGATAAGCAACACTGCAAACTCAGGAAACTGGTAAGAGTACAAAATGACTTTAGAATAAATGATGCTATTTTTTGATGCATTGCGAATATAGCTGATTCTTGAGTTATTTAAATTAAGTGAGGTAACGTGTCACTAAATGACAGTGAGAAAAAAAACCTTCCCGACCAAATGAATTCAAGGCTATGTGATAAAAAAAAAACTCTAAATAAAGTAGAGAAAATGTCAAACACTCTGTTCTTTTAATGAAAATCCAGAACACGTTGTCAACTTTTACACATGTCCAGAACTTGCCATATGATAGGATTATTTTTGGCCTCATAAATGGCTACACTCAATAAATGAAGTCATTTCAGCCCCACTTAGGAAATGAGAAATAGATATCTTGACTGAATTCCCATTTTTAAATATTTTAAAATAAAATCATATAGCTACTAAGAATTACATTATAATGTGCTAAATGCCATATTTTACTTCTGTGCCTATTTTACTTCTGCTACAGAAGTCTCTAACCTTTTTGGTCATTTACAAGCTTGGAATTATGACAGTGTGTTGCAGAGGGGGACTCCACTCAGAATATGGTTGCATAGCTAATTGGAAAAGAATTCACACAGGAATGGGGTCTGGACAGTGGGAGATCTGTTGAAATACCTATACTATAGATAACGATGTGCATAGATTTGTTTTTGAAGGGCAAAAAGTCATTCAGAGTACACATGGACATACACATACAGTATGTAAAAAATACTTCAAAGCAATTGCATCTTTTTTTGATTTGCACATTTGCTCTATACTTATGAGGTATTCCTGACAGGTGTTATATGTGTGCCCATAGAAGCCGCAAATCACTTTTTGCTTTTGGTATATGAATATGAGTATTGGCACTTATCAGGGATCTTTAATCAAACATACATACTGACAAAACAATATTTTAAAAATTGGTTGATTCAATTTTTACTTCATTAACAATACTGTTGATTCAAGTTAAACTTTTGATAAATTTGTTACTAATATTAACTACTACTTACTACTTTGACCCTGTGACCAGGTGTGGCACTTATTTCCCAGCTGCATTCTTTTCTGCTTGGATACTTGTCTGGCCAGTTGGGGCTTGTGATAATTCCATTTGGGCTGTGGATTTTCTGTTCACATTCAGCTGCATTAATCATAGATACAGTATCAATGAATTGAGTGAAAATATATTATATCATACAGCTAGATAAGCCAGATATTAATTCTCTGCTTTATGAAAAAAAGGAAGCATTTGTTAGAAGCTAACATGGTGTAATCATTCAATCTTAACTATCAACATCTACGATTAGCAAACTCATTACTGAGAACAATATGCAATAATCCGTAACATTAATTTGGGGAGTTATGCAAATAATTTGAGATCTCCATCCTCTTGAATATTTGGTGTGGCTGTTTAATGACCCTCCCATTCATTCATTTGTACATTCTTCTGCATGCATAGAAGATGCTTCCATTGAGTTTGAAGTCATGGTTATACAATATTTGAATATTTTGTATAGCCTATTACGTAACACTTTTCAATGAAATACCTTACAATCTTAGAACAGGTGCAAATATAAGAATACATGCATAAGATAAGATGTACTCAAGCAACTTCTTTAAAATAAGCTTCTCTGGCATACTACGTTTTACCTTCCTTGCAGTCATGTTTGTTTTCATGAAGCACAAATCCATTCCGACATTGGCATACATAGCTTCCAAAAGTGTTAATGCATTCATGCTGGCAGCCACCATTGTCCTTTGAACATTCATCTTTATCTATAAAATATACAACATGTTTACTCTGCAAAGAGAATTTACTTCTATTTTTCATAAAAAGGTACAATGGTTTAGTTAGATTTAAGTACCTATGGGAAAGTATTTTTAAAAAGACCCATACATAATGACAATGCAACAGGAAATTGTATACTGCTCAGCTTTTCCTTGATTTGATTGCAATTGTCTCACAATTGGTCAAGTGTACAGAAATAAAATCAAAATTATACTAATTATCAAAATTATAATACTTGATAAATTAATGTATAATGAGAATATATATTTTGTTAATTGGCAAAGCCTTATTACCAAGATGCTTGAAGCTTTATGTATTATATATGTGCATGTAAGTGTGTTTGTGAATGTATGTGTATGTTTGTGTGTGAATAACATGTTTGGTTATTAAATTACGTTATTTAGAGTTTGAATGACAATGTCATGCTTTTCCCAATTAACACTGAGACAAAAGTAAAACTGGAGCAGGATACAATGGTTTGGCACTGGTATTGAATGATGAAGTAAAAATCTTATCTATGATTTATATAAACAAGGGTTCATTCCAGGTTGAAAAACTTATAAGAAAACAAATTCTAATTTACCAGATTAAATTTAAAACAAGTAAACCTTTTACAGATTACTTGCAAATCATGTCCAGAGATGGAAATCAGCCTTCCAATTTTAAAATGATCCTTTATGTATTTTTTTCTCTCTCAATAGTTCTTATAATTAGAAAAGATCCCTTTTCAACAATATATTAGATGTGATTCATTCACAAAGTACATGGTCATCTTTCAGATCCTCAAAGAGCTAGATATGAATGATATCACATGGCCTGTATCAAAATCTTTGCATGATTTCAAAATAAAAGTGCTCTCCTTGGAGGCAGCTGTCTTCCGTGGAAAGGAAAAAATGTAGGAGGATAGATGAGTGACTGAGTCATTTTTCCAGCACTAGTGTGCTCAGCGATAGAATAATTATAATTTTTATCTGTTTATTGCAACATAATTATCTTTATGATTCCCCAGACCTATTTCTCTGCCAATATATATCCATTTTAGATAATAAATCTTTCCACTAAATATAGTAAATATTTCCAGTTTCAGTTAAGAAATAGAACCAGCAGTTTCTTTCAGCTTTCAGGCTTGTAAAATGAAGATTTAAACAATGTAAAACAATTTGGAAATTAATCTGAAAAAAGTAAAAAGTATCTTATTATTTTACCTATAAATATTTTCTTTTTTTCTCTCAAGAGAATGCTTGAAAGTTCACGGTGATCAATCAAGCATTCTACATTTGTATTTCTTATTATGGACGCAATAGTCATACAGTGCGCTTTATCATTTTTACTTGTTCAACACTTCTTATTGAAGCTACTGATCAGAGTCATGACATACGATGCAAAATCACTTATGAGCAAGACATTCCATGGAACTTAAAACAAATAAGTCTGGGACTCTTGGGCAAAGGAGGTTATTCTCTTTGCTGGCAGGACAGAGCTTTCATATTCTTCAGAATTATATCTTATTTCAGCCTAAAGTCAAAATTAATGCCATGCAAGCCTATCAATAGCTTTATGACCAGAATGAATGGGACTGATCATCTATTGCAGGCATGTCTCAACCCAAGTCCTCTAAACTAGCTGATATTTAAAGCGATGAGATCTGGGCTGCTAGGACCCAGATTATAACTAGCTAGCCTTAGGAGACACAGAAAACTCTTTTCCATCTAGTATTTATCTAGATTTTTCACCTCAGTTCTGTTAGCCTCGAGATATCGTAGTCCAAAATACATGGAGGGATTAGATTTAGGACAAATGTTATAATCTGCCTCATAGCTTCAAATATATATCATACCAATTTTATTTACCGGTACTTGCCTTTCAAACCCTCGTTACTTTTCAGAGAATGTGGACTCTTAAAAAGTTGATATAAAATGTCTTTTGAGTCTTGTTAATCTCTTCCAGATATTACAACCTGAGTAAAGTATTTATGTTACTCTAAATAATATTTTTACTGAATTTAGTCTGCAATCTTACTTATATAATAAAATATACTCAATGTACTTAAAATAGATTTCCACTGAATTAAACAATATTGATTCCAAAATTGTAGGGAAATATAGGATTGTGCTATAACATTATAAATTATGTTATCATAGGTTTTTTTTTTAAAGGAAGTATTGTAATCTGTTCTGTTTCTCTTAACTTCTCTAATAAACCTTTCCCGGAGTTTCTAACCCAGCGGTTCTCAACCTGTGGGTCGGGACCCCATTTGGGGTCAAATGACCATTTCACGGGGGTCGCCAAACAACGCAGTCCGCCATTTTTTCCCTTTTCCTTAGCTGTGCTACTCTCTTTTATTCTATTGGCTTTTGAAAGCCAATAGAATAGACTCTCTTGAATAGAGTCTAATTCTATTGGCTTTCAAAAGCCAGTAGGAATTGTCCAGGCTGTCTCTGCCCTGCTGAGCCCACCAAAAGTCCCATTCTGCAAACGGTGCTGCACCAGTTGAGTAGTCTTCGACTTACGACCGGTTGAGTAGTCCTCGACCTACGACCAGTTGGGGATCGCGGCATTAAAAAAGGTTAAGAATCACTGTTTTAACCTATCTGTTTACCAAAGGTGCTTTTTTCAAGAGGCAACTGGACCTTCTTGTTTTTCTTTGAAGACATTTTGCTTCTCATCCAAGAAGCTTCTTCAGCTCTGACTGGATGGTGGGGAATGGGAGGATTTATACTCCTTTCAGACAGCTGGCCATTTGCATTCTTTTAAAGAGTCATTGAGGCCACTAGGGGGTTTGTCTGTGTCCTCAGGGTCATCTGAGCAAATGGGTGTAGAGACTTCTTGGAACTGCTGAAAGGACTGTGTTGCGAAGCTGTGTTTTCTACAGGATGTTTTCTGCCCTGTGTCCATTCACTGTTGAACACAGGCGCAAATGTCTGTGTTGTCTGCATCTCAAACTGAAGTGTAAATGGTTGCTGCAGTCTGCAATTTTTCTGGAAATCCATTCATACTCCCATACCATTTGAAGGATGTTCATCCCAAAGTGCATAACTAAAAGTCTATGGAATTTTCAGTCATCCAAAGGTGCTTTTTTCAAGAGGCAACTGGACTTTCTTGTTTTTCTTTGAACTTTGGGACAACCATGACCTGGATAACTGAGAATCTCCATAGACATTAACTTATGTGTGCATCTTCTTTATTGTGTGAAAACATGCCATTTTTAAGGGAAAAAAAACACTTAGAGAAAATTACTGCAAATAAAAAAAAACCAATATAATTAGGAAAGTAAATGAATAATGAAATCTGGATAGTAAAATAATAATATGCATTATAATTATAACTAATAATATATGTCCTTGTCATGATTATTATAGTATACTGCAATCAATATTAACTTATTTAATTAAGTGAAAAATTGAAACTGAACTTGTTAAGAGACAGGCCATTCATCTTGATTGGAACCAAAAAATGAAAAACATAAGCAAATCTTATCCTGGAGTTTTCAAAAACTTTAGTTGTGTGTGAAAAACCCAAACATTCATACAAATCACACCTATTTATTTGTTTTAATACCTGAGAAGAAGTGAGCTTTGAAACCTTTTTTTGAAACTGTGTTATCAGATTTGAACTCAATTCTCATGTTGTTATACTGGGATGTGATAACTTCAGGCACTTCTGTACCACAAAATTTGCCATGTGGTTTGGAATCAGTAGAAAGGCCACTACGGATTTCCACGTAATCGTATTTGCACACCTAAAAAATGAAACATCAGTATTAATCCTAATGTAACTAAGAAATATATTTATCTTTCAATTTATACCTTCAACCATGAGAGATAATGTGGTTTAGTTCTTTTTCTTTATTTTATTGCTTGCATTGCTCATTACATCACAATTGATCAAATATAGAAGAGGCTTTGGATAGTTTTTTTTCTTGAGTAACATGACAGACTAGAACCCTTCTGATGGCAGGATCTTAATATCAGCTCAGTTGTATTATGATTCAAATTGCTATTAATAATAATGAGTAATGCAAAGAGTGCTGTTATACCTATGTATTTTTTCATTTTAATTTGCCTTCCTTGATATTTCCATATGTTTGGTTTAATTTAAAAACTTAATTTTCCATTTTGGTTATCTAAATCATGACTCTCTTCTATGTCTGTAAACTGGTATTAAATGAGTTGGAACATTCTTATTAATTTGTTAACTAAAATCTTTTTAACTTTTTTACTGAATGAATGATATTCTCTATGGAAAGACCTAACATTTGGTCATCTTGACTTTTCCTGGCTCTTAAAAATTCTAATTCTAGACTAAAATTTTGATAGTGTGTTGATATATGTTTTTAATTATGGGAGTATATTCATGTATGTTCATGTAATAATCTCCAATCTCAAAGTGGATTTAGAACAGTAGTCATGATTTCATTTGTGTATTGATTTCAAGTGGATTATTCAGCATGCAGCTAAGAAAGCCCAAGAAATAAGAATTAAGAGCCCATTAAGAAAACAATAATTAAGATGAATATTTTTCATTAATAGGATCTATTTTATATACTGCTACTATTGATTACATAAGCAAATATCAGCTTCGGATGTCATTAACTTACTTCACTCCCTTCCAGTTCAAAGAACTCAAACTTCACTGAGATTCTATACTGGGTGGGAGCAACAAGTTGCCACACACAGTGTTTATTAGGAGGGTATTCTTTGGGCCATCCTGGTGTTGTTAGAGTCCCATTCAGTTTTGTCAGAAGACCCCCACAGGCAGCTGGAAAAAAAGCAAAACAATAGATTCATAAAGTTACAAGTTCATAAAATCATAGTTTGTACATGCGAAAAATATTAAATAGTAATTAATTAATTTTTTAAAAAATTCAGTAAAAAAAATCTATTAATCTATTTTTTCAAAACAAAACAGATAAATTCAAAATAATGGCCAATGCTATCTATTAGCATATATGGACTGCAGATAGGGAGGCTGAAGAACAATGTAGATGCATGCACAAATGTTGTTTTGTTTTTTAAAAAAGCAAATACTGTATGTACTGTATCTTATGACTCTCAGAAAATCCCCCAGTTTCTTCTTTTTTTTAACTCATATTTTCAACTTTGTATCAACTCAAACTGTAGACTCCTAAAAGTCAAAATAGAAAATAAAAGACAAACCATAACATAATCCATGGTGGGTCTAGGACACGGGTGTCAAACTCGATCGTGTCACATGACATATCGTGACATATTATGTTTTTTGCCTTTGTGGAGCTGGAGTGGGGCGTGGCCTGCAAGCTGAAAACCACTGTCCTAATTCATCTCTTTATTGCAATTATTGAGAGTATGAATGAAGCTATTGACACAAAGATAATTTGCCCTGTGCAATGGAACGAAGTCAAAACTGTTATATAACACCATGTTTTAACTCCCATCTTTCTGAGTTACTCTAATGGACACTTGGTGGTTCATTCAGGTATATTAGGCAACTGCTACTGTATATTTAATATTTAACTATTTAATAGTTCTTTGTGGCCAGAGGTCCTTGTTTGCTGCCTTATCTACAAAGTGGAATGGAAGTAGAGGAAAATGAGCATATTTGCAGTAATCTGAGACCTGATTTTACCTTATTCTTGGTAAAAACCCAAGCAACTTTATAGACTGGTGATAGTAAAGAGACTTAACAAAGTAGCAGCATGGTAAGTTTTATCTTTTTCCTGTTTTATTTAAATACACAGTGCTACTTTTAGAACACACAAATGTTATATCTAGAGATGTTTTTAATAGTTAAATATTTTCCGTGGTTTCATAAAATTTATACCCATCTCACTAAGAGCAAGACATACTGACATTGAAAATAACCAGCTGGCTAGAGTAAACTTTTATTAACTCACTATGCATGGAATCTATTATCTGGTCAGCATTTTTGAGAAATAGCTGATGTAAGGGTTATAACACATATACAAAACCAGCCTTGGCAAGAATGTAAAATTGGGCTTAATGCAGATACAGTACTTGCCATAAAAGCAAGCTATGTAATAAAGCTAAATTGTCTCTGGAACATTGAAAATTAATACATGCAAGTACCTTCACAACTCTTCTTATCAGGCCCAAGCTCATAACCTGGATCACAAGCACACTGGTAACTGCCCAGCGTATTCACACATCGTTGTTCACATCCACCATTGTCCAATTTGGCACATTCATCTTCCTCTGAGAAATAAAAATAGCATTGCATTCAAACATAAACATACCACTTTTTTCTACTGTATTACAACAACAGCAAGCTTGTATTTATAACTCAAACTATGATTGATGTAAGCATTTTCACAAAGTAGGATACATCTAATAACTGAGAAGACAGGCACACTCCTTTAAGCATTGGCCTTATATTCTGTCAGTCCCAGTTGATTAGACCAGACCAGAAAATTAACTCCACGAGGAGGCTGAAATTATTTTTATTGAGATTGGCTATAATAACAGAATCTTGCAAGTCTGATTGTGTTATACCCATCCCCCCTTTTTATACCCCAGTAAATTGGAGAGGAATCTGCCTGAGCTGCTTCCAAGTGTTATCACATTGCTCTAGATCTAAAAAATGTTTTAGTTCCTTTTCCTAAGTAAAAGTTCTTGCATACTTCCATCATGAATATCTGTTACCCAGAGACTTATTATTCTCTACTTCTGTTGTTTACATTGATCAGCCAGGGATACAGCTGAGACTGAAATAATATGCTTTGTAATTTCATTTATTCAGAATAAGTGTAGATAACGTATAGGAGAAATTAGCACTAGTTAGGAGGAATAAAATAAAGCAAAACTTTCCCCCTTAATTACTTAATCAGGGACTTGAAAAATAATAAACTTTGTCAGCTCACCCATAAAACATTTAGAGGGCCAAGGAATACTAACAATACAAGACACTAGAAGGTGAGCATAAGCTCTAGAAGGGTCCCCAACCCCCAGTCCATGGACCGGTATCGGGCTGCGGCATGCCAGCAACCGGGCCGCACAAACAAGCAAAGCACCATCTGCAGGATGCAGGCAGCACACAAAACCACGCCCCTCTGGACCGTAGAAAAAAACATCTCTCCACATAACTGGTCCCTGGTGCCCAAAAGGTTGGGGACCTCTGCTCTAGGAAACGAGATAGCCCCATACTATATTTTTTGTAATTATGCTCTTAGAATGTCCTCTTTCTTCATTCAGTACAGCATAGTTTTTGTAGTTATCCATTATCTCATAAGATCTATCCCATAATTGATTCCGTTAACATGTAAGATATTTTTTTATTGCTTTGGACCTGCCCCTATCTGCTTCCCACTGCAGGGAGAGGATTTATTCATCTGCTCTGCTGATGGTTGCAGCTAGGTTTCATAGGGTACTTGGTGGAATTCCTGAGTACTTCATTGAGTCAATCAATTAAAACCTCTTGGATTCACTTGAGTTGGAGTTCTCCTGTGGAGGTTCTCTGGAGTTGCCTGAGATATGGGATGATTTGATTATCTAGAAAGAGTTTTTTTCCTGTTGTCATTGAGGAACTGGATAGAGACAGTGGAACTGTGACTGCATCAACTATATTTTAGGATAATGCTCCTTCTTGTTGGTTAAGATCTTACTACAAAGGTTGGGTTCAAGTGGTGGTAGATTCTTCCTGGAGAGAAGGAATAGTTCCATATATGGTTAAGGAGACAGTGGCCTGGCACTGATTAAGGATCAACAGAAGAGGAAGGGAAGATTGTTGAGTAGATGATTGCCCTGGATGAAAAGGATTATCTGGATCACTTTCTATCAGGTTCAAACCTGGGCACAGTATGGATACAGTATTGATCATCCTTGCTGAAAATATCAAAGACATTCAATACCTTAAATGCAGGGTATGGGAGTGATATGACCCACTGGATGAGGGGTTTTTTCTTGGCACATCTGTTTGCATATGGTTGTTTTATACTTTGATTATGGGTTTTAATTGACTTCTGCTATTTTCTGATTATATATGCTGCCCTGAGTTGAGCAGCTGTGTAAATAAATAAATGCTGCTATATTCAATTATATTCAATTGATTCTTGTATTATATTCACTTAGCTGTATATTCTCATATTCAGTATACAGAGGCTCTATCTCCACCCTGCTTTAAGCTATCTCCAGTATAATAAACCCTTTTTAGGCTACCTCCAGTTTAATAAACAATCTCAGCTTCAAAAGAATTGTGTTGCGATCTCCGCTTTAAAATGAACTCTTAGCAAAATTAGTGAGAGAAGTTGCTCCTAGAAATGCATTCAAATCACTTGGGATCTTCTGGTTTAGGAAACCACTTTATGGTGAGAATAAATGAAAGATGAAAAAGAAACCTGAAAACTCATAGATTAAACTAATCTGACAGTCTCAGTTGTGAAGGCTACAGGATTGGGGCAGAAGCAGGAAAAAATGTCTGAACAATAAAATAATCTACATTATTTTCTTCTGAGTTTTATCATTAGCAATAGCAATTAAATTTACATGCTGCTTCACACTGATTTACAGAGCAACAATTTGGATCCTCATTTTACCAATCTTGAGCTGGTCAGGATTGAAAGAATCAAACTCCTGGCGATGTGAGCAGAATTAATCTGCAATACTGCATTCTAATCACTGCACCAAATGTAAATACCCCACTAATTGCCCAAACTGTTACCTTTAAAAAAATTAGCAGCAAATCCTGCTTTATTGACTGTTCCATCAGAAACAAACTTCATCCACAGGGTATTTGAGGTAGATCTTATATCTTCAGGTTTATCATAGCCACAAAAATGTCCAATCAAAGGGCTGCTTTCACTCATTCCATCTCGGACTTCTAAATAATCATAGGCACAATTATCATGTCTCTCAATCTGCAAATATAAAATGATATTTGATCAAAATTATAATATGCTAACATATGCTAAAATTATAATATGCTAATATTTCTGCTAACAATTTTTAGATTAGCTGCATTACTTAGTTTCTAATATAAAAATATTTGCAGTCTAATTATAAAAGCTTCTTTACACCTCATTAAGACTAAATGTCAAGGATTTATATTATACTGTTTTCTTGGGAAACCTATTCAAATTCTCAGCAGGACTTCTTGAAAAAGTAAAATTAAACTGGAGATAGATTATGTTGCCCACAAGAGATGATTATTTGTCATCCCTGTGGCCAAATACATATCAAGCTGAATTTAAGGTAGATGCAAAAATCAGAAGTAGGAAGTTATAAAGCTTGGAAATTCAACAGTTAATGTATTTTATTGAGCCACAAAAATCATTTTTAATATGGTTTTAATATAATAGATGAGATTGGAATAATTTTTGCCTTAGGTAAAATTTAGTACAGTAAAAATTTATTTACATGATTCAGTCCAGTGGTCTATTGAGACTAGCAATTCTAATTTGGAAGCCATATTTCTTTCATATCTCCAGGAAGCAGGGAAGGTAGTATCTTTAAACAGAGATATTAGTACCACAAGGCTTCCATTCTATAACTGTGCTATAGATATTTTATATCTTACTGAGAATGCTTTTCCCTCAGTCATTAGTCCAGATGAGTTTCATTAAGATGGCTCTTTAATCTTTTGACATTTCTTTAGAATACAGTTCTGCAACCTGAATTGATTGATTATGAGCTGGATTGCAGTGTGAATTCCTATTATTTTTAACAGCTAATGAAAAGGAAAGAAAGTAAAAATCAGACCTCTCCGTATAAAAACTTTATAAATTTTATTTTACTAAGTTTCATTTATATATTTCTATCTACCTATTTTATAATCCCTGTGTCACAAAGGGAGTTTGGACAATGTTATGAAATATATTTTCCTAGCCTAGATCATAACACAAATCAGGAAAGGTTAGAATTATAGGCTTGTTTAACAGCATGCAATAAATATGGCTGCCAGCAGAACTACACTGTAGAAAAATTAAAATTATTACAAAATTCATTACAATTGTGATCCCTTTATAAAATATCAGCATGATGTAATTGTATGAAGAGGGAAATGAGAACAAAGAGATTTTAGAAAGAAATAAAAGTCCTATTCCTTAAATAGACTTTGGAACAGGATTAGTTACTTGTTAAAAGAAACTATTGTCACTTTTTAAAACACTCCTATTCAAATAGTGAGATAATATAAAACCCTTTCATCTTTTGAAATTTCTGCAATGAAAAAACTCTCAGTGAGAGGAAATATGAACTACTGTATGGCTTTATGTTCTACAGAGAGTGCTTTGTGTCTATGTTGGCTTAATGAGGATTCCCTTAAATGTCACTGTCTGTTAGCCACGAGATGGTTTGCTCAGATCAGTTAAAAGGCTTTACCTCAAATGCCTGAAAGGTTAATCCGACATTGTAGTTCTCTGATACTGCTATTTTCCACACACATTCTTTCATTGGTCTGTAGTCATCGGGATAATTAGGAGACTGGATCTGGCCTTCATTTTTATGTATCTCACCTCCACAAATTGCTAAAGAACACAAAAAAAGAAATGTAGGCTTACTTCTGGTGTTTACATTTTATTTTTTATGAGAAGTTATTTGTGTTTGGAGGACCCATTCAAATGACAAATATGTGAATCCTTCATCAAGTGTTCCTGATAAAATTTATGTTTAAAACTGTATGCAGTGCAACACAGTATGTATACTGTAAATTACAGACTGGATAGGAGCCATAGGAAATGACCCAGCAGCTTCAGTGTCTGGGCCAATACCTGTTAATGTAGGGGCTTCCCTTTGTTGCCTATGAAAGGGAAATAAATGCTTGGCGTGCACGATGGGAAATCTGCAGTGCATGGAAAATTCCCTTCTCATCAGAAAGGAAGCTCTAAGCATGCAAAACTTGGTATGCTGCCACAGTTTGCAGGTTTATTACCACTCAGAAGGGTCCAGAAATATCTACTGAGAGATTAAAACACAAAATACGATACTTGAAAGTTGTGTAAGATAATAACTATATTACCGAAGTATTCTCTGTGAAAGACACTTGGTAATTATTCAGGGGCTGAATGCAAGAAAACATTGATTTGGCCTGGCCTCCATAATGCATATCCACACCTGAACTCATATCTACCCACCCATCCTTACTTTAACACATAAGGCAATCTTCTCCAGTTTGATCCACTGTAAGTTTATTGGGTCTGTTATTAATAAGCTTCAGCAAATCTGGCCAGTAAAGAAGACTGCTAATTATCCAAGAAATAATCTAAATAATTGCTCAAATCTTTCCTCTTTGAACTGTAAAAGCAGTCTGAGGAAAAAAAATTAGCAAGTGATTACCTCAAGAGCCATAGTTTAGTATTTTGGTATTCCCCTTCTTTTCTTAAAATTCACACGTCATGCCAAAATGCATGTTCTGCTGAATTTGGGGCATAGATGTTAATCTGGTATAAAAGTTTAACCTGGTTGATTTGCCTAAGGACTCACCTTCATAAATGGCTGCAAAACCTTTTCCTACCCAGTTGCTGCTGCTGCGGAACTCGATCCACATCCTACTCTCGCTAGATGTGAGGATATTTGAGAGTTTATCTCCGCAGAATCTGCCTAAAAAAAGGTAAAAAGTGAGACAATGGATTTTAAGGCATCTCTAAAGATGATGCCATGCAGTGTGATATAAACAGTCTGAGATCTACAGTTCTGGAAGATGGATGAATGGATGGATGGATGGATGGATGGATGGATAGATAGATAGATAGATAGATAGATAGATAGATAGATAGATAGATAGATAGATAGATAGATAGATAGGTAGGTAGATATGGACAGATGGACTGACGGACAGACAGACAGACAGATGATAGATAGATGAAAGAGAGAGAGAGATAAGAGAGATGATAAATGTTATTTTTGTTTGGGGGGATCATTTAAATTTGGCTTAGAATTGTAAATTTATTTAATTCCCTACTGGAAATGGCAATGTGTCACCCAACTGGGGGGACTTCAAGAGGCTGTAACAAAGGATGCGCAGACAGTGCTCGCCAAACCTTGATTTAATCACTCTTCCAGCTTTTACTCTGCCACTGCTTTTACTCTGCCACTGCTTTTACTCAGGTAAAGGCATGGCTGTGCTGGAGTAAAGTGGGGGGTAGTGTGGTGTTTGACAACAGTGGACAATAATACATCTGTAAATAGCCAGATGAGAATAAAATAAAATTTATTGTGGAACAAACACTGGAGAAGAAATAATTTCATTTATTTTTTTAAAAAAAGCTTTACTGTGAAGGAAATAATGCAGATGTGTAAATAACAGACACTAACTTACTATGTTTAAGCTAAACTACCCTAACCTATATTAATTGTGAAATCATATCTTGAGATACCCATTACATAATATCATCCTATAACACTTTTCCCAGCTTTTCCATGTGCACATAAAAAAAGAAGTAGGATTTGGATGGCATGATTGTGGTTGCAATCTTGACTTTTTTTACCCCTCCCTACAGACACCCCTGCTTGATTCAAAATATTAACTCCATTTCCATTTATATTAGTGTTATTTCTATCTTTCAGTTTTCAAAAGTGACCACCATAGTTTCATACCAAGCAGAGGTGATTTTCTCCAGTAGCCATCTCTTACTTCAATGTAGTCATACCAGCAGAGGCTGCTCTTATAGAGGTCCATTGTTGTAAAGTTTAGAACAATCTGGAATAAATGTAAAAGAGAAAAATACCCAATAAATTGGTTTGTAGCCCGACCAAAAAGAAAAAAGAAAGAAAGAAAATTGGGAAGCTTTTCTTACCAGTATATTGGCTTTAAAGTAGAAGAAGATATTTCTAAAATAATTTTGGAAGTCTTACCTTCCGAATAGCATCATATGGGGCATGTGTGTGTTTATGACAGACAGAAGAAGAGAGGACATGTGGGTGATTAAAATAGGAGATCAAAAACTGCTCTTACAGACGTAATAGAAGGAAGGGATTGTTAATTTTCTGATAAAATCCAGTAATAAGGATTTTGAATTTCTATTTTGTTAGTCATGATGAACCTAACAGATTGCATCCATTTCATGGTAGATATTTTAGATAGTCACTAGAACTTCTTTAACAAAATCTCTCCTGCATATTCATATCATAAACATTTATATGAAATGCATTAATTGTGTGTCCTAGTAATTTTAGCAGTGAAACATATCAGATGCTGCTATGGATTTCACCACCCTTTTAACAGAGGGAAAAATAGTGTCTGATTTCTTGCATCCTGCAAAGCAATCAGCTGGATCAGAGGTCAATCTCCACAGTGGCATCTGAGATAAGAATCCCTGATTATTACCACACTTTAGAATAGAGACAATTGATATGTCTTTGATTTCCCGCAGGCAGGGGACAGAAACTTTGAAATGTAGGAAGGGGATAAAAGCTTTGTATTGATTTTTTTTAAAGTAAGTTTTAATACTGTGGTTTGGCCTATTATACAAATAGACACTTATTGTGATCATAACTGTATCAGAGGTGGCCAATCATTTTCTGGGCAGTGTCTGCCTAAAGCATTCCAATAACATCAGAGTATTGATTATTTTGAATGCAACCATTTTAAGATGGAACATATCATATTTTGAACAATTGCTTTAAAATGATTATTTGCTATTGTGCAGTTAATGAAATTTCATACTGCAATGGTATACTTCTTCTGACAACCACTTTGCATATGTCCTTTGTATGTGAATGGGAATCTATCCATTCTCTACTTGCGATAAGGAAATAAAACACTGATATTTGAACAATAAACTTAAATGTTTACTTACTGGTTTTCACCTGCCCATAATTTACATAGAGTACACTATGAAAATCTAATCATACTGAAGTTATGGAAACATTTTTGTAATTTGATGTTAAGAGATTTATAAACTTCCCAAAATATATCAAGATATAAAATAGTATGCAATATTCTAATGAAATATCTAATTTTGTTACTTTATTTAATAGTTTATTAAATTGTATATATTCTTGGAAGGAAAAGGAATAAGTTGGTTAATTCACTGGTTTCTACACTCATATCAATAAATTTCTGGAACTGATACGCTGTTCCCTATATTTTATATAGCAATTGTTTTATGTCATTGACGTTTTTTAAAACTCAGCAAGTAGAAACAGTAATTATGTGAGAGATCTGTGACCAAATTTTACCATCCTGTGTTATTGTTATGATAATCAGTAGGAGTGTTAGCAAATACTACACTAAATTCTACTAGTACTTCAGTATTATTATCAAAATGAGATTTCAGGATATATTTTAAATATTTCTTTTAGTTAAAATGTGCCCAGTAGCATAATGCTCAGATATTATCTGCAATATGCATTCTTTTAACACTCTGCCACACACACACACACACACACACACACACACACACACAAATATATAGATAAATAGAAGGATAGTGAGGGGAAGGCAAGAACAACGGATGGATCAGCAGGGTAAGAAAGAGAGGAGGGGTAGCAGTGGAGAAGCACCAGCAGTGCCAACGCTGAGCGCCCAGCCCAGAATGATTGCAAGGAGACAACCGGTGGATGCAAGGATAGGATTGGCAAAGATGAGAGGGAGTGAATTCAGGAGTGAGCTGGCAGGCAGCCCAGCTGATCGCACATAGATGGGACGAAAGGACGGAGTAGAGCTGCAAGCACGCATACCCAGACATGAAGAGAAACGGGAGAGAAGAGGACTCATGATGACAAATAGTGGAGGACAGGAACAACAGGCAGACAAATGGAATGGAGGAGAGGGGAACAGCAGTGTAAGGGCACTTGGGATACTGAACTCGGATCCACGGCCCAAAGTGAGTGCGGGGGAGTGGTTAGTAGGCATACCAACAGTAACAGCACCAGGAAGGAGAGGAAGGATAAGGAGGGGAGAGACAGAAGTTGTGGAACTGGAGTGCAAACAAGGGGAGGCGGGACATTTATTTAAGGCAATTACGGTCAGTTAAGACGAATGGCTCTATCACACGGTCAATGTGTAAAAAACTAGGTTAACAAGGCTTATAAGAGATCTTTCTCCACCCCAATGCTTTACTCTGAAGACGCTGGCAGTGGACCAGCGAAAGCTAAGTTTGTTTTAACATTGTAAATAGTTGTTTTTATTGTTTTAAATTTTTTAACAATAAACAGCTGATTTATATTTATCCCGGAGTTCGAAGATTGTGTAGTATTGAATAGATATGCCCAGGATTCAGATTTTTACAGTTATTAAGGAATATATATATATAGTATAATGACCAAGGAGCTAGAGAGGTGAACTCAACCTTCAGATTTCTACAATAAAATAAACTTTGCTTGTTATTTTCAACTATTAAGGATCTGGCTATGGCATTAGTAAACATCTGGACTTTTCTGTCCTTTGCTCATGACTATTGGGACTGGTAAAATCTGTTTATAAGTTTTTGGGTTTAAAACTGGGATCCAAATAGTTAACACACAAACTGGTTACAATGCAGTGGAATTGAAGCACATGGTAGTCTGGCACCACAGCTGTGTTTACGACTGCCAACTACTTCCATGACTGATTAAAGAATTAGGCATGCTCCAGCCCATCCATTGAAATGGATGGACTAAAGCTTTATGAGTAATATTGGACTATTACCAAAACAAGTTGATGTATTAGCAATATGTTATTTTCTTTTTCTTATATGCTATAAATTGTAGGATTTCTGACATACATATTTTTATTTCAGACCATATGTAATTATGACTTGCTTAATAAAAGTAAATTACACACTTCATAATGAAATATTAAGTGTATTTTAATTATTTTCAAAATTCAATTTCTAGTGACTGTTTCTCCCAAATGCAAGCACACTTGTACAACAGACTCAATTATTTGAATTAAAACAAAAAAAAAGTTACAGAATTCAGTTTTGTTCTTCCATTTTTTATCCCTCCGAGAATGCACAAGGCAGGATGAAAAACTATTTGTTACATTTCTTTTCCTTGTGTTATGAAATGAGGCTAGTAGGACAGTACTATAGCATGGTCACTCAGTAGAGGAAGAAAAAAGCACATTAAATGATGGAGAGGTATGGCATACTGGACATGGAATCTCTCAACAGAACAAAAATCTTTCAAAACTGGTTGATAGGATAACACAATGGCTAAATATGACATTACTTGTTGTCTTCAATGCCTATAAAGTTACTTTAATACAGGGGTAATCAACCTTGGCTCTTTTATGACTCATGGACTTCAACTCCCAGAATTCCTGAGCCAGCTATGCTCAATTCTGGAAGTTGAAGTCCACGAGTCATAAAAGAGCCAAGGTTGACTACCCCTGCTTTAATATATGTTCTGCAACAACAGACACAGAAAAACTGGAGACAAAGCAGAGTTAAAGAGGACCCTATGGTTACAAATTTCCAAAGTTAAACAATCAATGAACAGTGGTCAGCACAATTAAAAAATCAGTGGCTATATAAACAAATCAGAAATAGCAATGATGTCTGATGCAGAGTAATCTGTTTCATTTTCACAGCTCTATCAGAATGCAGTGGGATAACTCAAATAGGTTCTCAGGATTTGACAAAACTAAACAAGTTAAGTGCAATCTTTTCATCAAATGAGCAATTTTCAGATAACCATTTGTATCAAAGAAATAACTAACAACCTTTGATCTGGGACTAAAAGCTCTTCCCATTTCTAGGAGAGCTATGGCCCTGACAGGTAGTCAGGAAAATTCCTGAAGTTTAAAAGCCTACTTAATTTTTTTTCCAAATTAAAGGGTTGAGACATACTTCTGATATGAATGTTAAGAAATAATAAGAAATTTCTAAAAAAAAAAAAAAAAAAAACCAAGACTGGAAAACTGTTTCTTTTAAATCCCTATGCCACAGGTCGGCAACCTGCGGCTCCGGAGCCGCATGCGGCTCTTTGAGCCTTCCCCTGTGGCTCCCAGCCTCCTCTGCCTTTGCAGAGAGAGACAGAGACAGAGAGAGGCAATTGCGCTTCCCTGCTTTTCTCTCTCTCTCTCTCTCTCACTCTCTCTCTCACTCTCACTCACTCATTCACTCTGTGTGTGTGTGTGTGTGTGTGTGTGTGTGTTTGTGTGTGTATGTGTAAAAGAGAGTGCACTCACAGTGTTCTCCGAGGATCTGAAAAACTTACTGGGCGGAGCTCCTCCCTTTGCTGCGTCTCTGCAGGAAGCAGGAAGCAGGAAGGGCAGAAGAGAGCTAGCTAGCCCAGTTAGGCTGACTCAGGAATTCTGGGAGTTGAAGTCCATGAGTCATAAAAGAGACGAGGTTGCCTACCCCTGAGTTGTTGGACAACAGCTTGAAGCTTGCCAGGTGAGCAGCAGATAGGAGGGGGGGGGGAAGAGAGAGGGAGGGAGAGAGAGAAAGAAAGAGAGTGGGGGAAGAGGAGTGGCAGACCAAGGGCAGATAGAGAGGGAGGGAGAGAGAGACACACACACAGAGAGAGAGACCATTTTGACATCTAAAATGAAGATAACACTGCAAATATCCTTTTTTTACCTTTGTTTGTATGTAATTTTATTCTCTTAAAGCGTTCTCTTGGTGATCATTGTTTTAATAGTATGGATATTCCCAAAAGTCATATTTTTATTTTTAATGTGTGTGTGCGTCTGCGTGTGTGTGTGTGTGTGTGTGTGTGTCAGAAAACAAATATATACATATATATATATATATATACATACATACACACACACAAACACACACACACACACACACCTATAATAAAGGTAAAAAAAGATATATGCAGTGTTATCTTAATTTTAGATATCAAAAGGATTTTGCGGCTCCCGGTGTTTTGTTTTTGGTGGGAAACGGGTCCAAGTGGCTCTTTGAATGTTTTGGGTTGCCTGCCCCTGCCCTATGCTGTCTACAAAAATAGTAGGATAATCTGTTTTTGAGCCTCCATCAGTGTGTACCACGACCAACATAACTAAAATCCACGATGCTAGTATTTTTTTTTCTAAATGTGAAATAACCAGACTGTCCTCATTTTCACATGAAGTTTCAAGCATAAATGGATCTGCAATAAGAGATTTATGATCTCTTAAGAGTCAAAATAAAAGGGATGAAAATGTAGTTCAAAGGCTTTATTTCAGTGGTTCTCAACCTGTGGGTCGGGACCCCATTTGGGGTCAAACGACCATTTCACGGGGGTCGCCAAACCACGCTGTCCGCCATTTTTTTTCCTTTTCCCTAGCTGTCCTCTCTCTTATTGGTGGCCACACCCACTTGGGGGTCACCACAACATGGGGAACTGTATTATGGGGTCACGGCATTAGAAAGGTTGAGAACCACTGCTTTATTTGATTAACCCACTCTTAACAAGCCCAAGCCCTTCAGTTTTAATGCGTTAAAATTTCTAATAAAATAAATGTTTTCTTTCTCGGGAACCAGAGCTGGAAATCAGAGTAAAGTACCTTTTCTCCAGCAGTCACTGAAATTCTCCATATGCAATGTGTGTATGACGGATAACCATTTGGAAATCCTGGCGAGGAAAAGTTGCCCGTAGACTCTTGCAAGGTTTCGCCACATGCTGAAAGACATCAGATAATAGAGAAATTATGAGCTCTCTGAGAAGGGGTGCTTGAGTAAGCATGCGTCTTCTTACTGGGATTCACCAGAAGCAGAAAGAGAAATGCTTGTATTCAAATGACCATCCTTTATGCAAAGCCGTTATTTCAAGAGTCAGCCAGGGGTAAATACTTTTCTAGATAGTTTTCTTTAAATCAAAATTACAGCAGGCTTTAAAATTGCTCTGTTGAGTCACCCAGGCAAGCAAACTTTCTTTCTTTTCACTACAATATTGTAAAGGGGGAAAAAAAGCAGTGCTGAAAAATAGCTATGATGCAGGAAATCAACTACCATTTTCATTTAATCACTATTTGATCTAGGATATATACCAGATTGTATTTGTTGTGGCAATATGCCAAAACAAGTACAATCTGGCATATATCCCAGATCAAATAGTTATTAAATGAAAATAGTAGTTGATTTCCTGCATCATAGCATTGGTTTCACTTTGTTTTCAAATATTTTATCACTAATCAGGGAGAAAGACACAGATGCAATATGACCCCCTGGCTGTTTAAACTACTTGAGATTAATCACATAAGGAATCTTTGTGATGACTTTACAATCATGCTGGTTAGGCATGTGAAACAGATCCAGAAGCACCAGCAAAGTCATATTCCCCCTTCCAGAATCTGGCAAAGTTACCCACCAAAATGATTAAAGCAAAGTTAGTACAATACTAGCGGCAAAATCTCAACAAACAGATCTAATACTGTAGATGTTTAACCAGCAGCTGATTTAATATAGCAGAATTTTCAGATTAAAGGGGCCAACATTTTTGTCACCTTAATTTTTAAAATCATGTTGAAACCTGAAGAAGTCAGCAATTTACCTTTCCTCTTTGCCCAACAATAGTCATTATGCAATCTTACACTTTGTTGATGAGACAGGTTGTCTGTGTCATACTCTCACCTACTTTCATTTGTATTTTTTAACATCAAGCTGTGACAAATTCCCTCCCACACTGCCTATTCTAAGAGTCTATACCTGCTAAAGAAGGGTGCCCAACAGGGTGAGCAATAGACAAATGGCCAGCAGGCTCAGGAAACTGATGCAATCCTGAGTAATCTGGTCCTGCCAAGAGCACATAGTCCAAAACCTGCTCCTACAGACAAGTACAAGCCTTATGGTGCAGCACGCTTTCCCTCTCCCTTGCCGAGTAGAGTAGAGTAGAACAGAGCTGGAAGGGACTTTGGACATCTTCTAGTCCAACCCCCTGCTCAAGCAGGAGAACCTATACCATTTCAGACAAATGGTTATCCAATCTCTTCTTAAAAACTTCCAGCGTTGGAGCATTCACAACTTCTGGAGGCACTGATTAATTGTTCTAACTGTCAAGAAATTTTTCCTTAGTTCTAGGTTGTTTTTCTCCTTGATTAGTTTCCATCCATTGCTTCTTGTCCTCCCCTCAGGTGTTTTGGAGAATAGCTTGACTCCCTCTTCTTTGGGGCAGCCCCTCGGATATTGGAAGACTACTATCATGTCACCCCTAGTCCTTCTCTTCATTAAACTAGACATACCCAATTCCAGCAACCGTTCCTTATAGGTTTTAGCCTCCAGTCCCCTAATCTTTTTTGTTGCTCTTCTCTGTACTCTTTCTAGAGTCTCAACATTTTTTTTTACATTGTGGTGACCAAAACTGGATGCAGTATTCCAAGTATGGCCTTACCACTTCACGTGATCTTGATTCTATCCCTCTGTTAATGCAGCCTAGCACTATGTTGGCTTTTTTGGCAGCTGCAGCACACTGCTGGCTCATATTTAAGTAATTGTCCATTCGGACTCCAAGATCCCTCTCATGGTTACTACTATTGAGCAAGGTACCACCTACTATACCTGTACATTTAGTTTTTCTTGCCTAAATGTAGAACCTTACCAAATGTAGAACATTTACCTGGACTACGCATCAGTCTTTTTTGCAACCACTACTTACGTAGTAATGATATTATGCAGGGTTCCTCAAACTTGGCGCTTTTATGACTTGTGGACTTCAACACCCAGAATTCCTCAGCCAGACCCGATATAATGTTTGGTGTTACCTCTTTCATTTTACTACTATACTGACAATTAGCTATTGGTAATTATTTCTTATTTTACTAATCTCTGACAATATTTTGTTTCAGCAGCTCTGATGAATATATTTATTTTTCTCTTGCGTGGCAATTTTTTCATTTTATTCTCATCTTACCCCATTGACATAACAATAATAGCAACAAAATAACCAAGCTGAAAGGGACCTAGTCTAGTCCAAACGTCTACTTAAGCAGGAGACCCTATACCATTCCAGACAAATGGCTGTCCAATCTCGTCTTAAAAACCTCCACAACCTCACCAACTTCTGGAAGCAAGCAGTTCCGCTGATTTATTGTTATTGCTGCCAGGAAATTTCTCCTTAGTTCTCTCTTTGATAAGTTTCCATACATGCCAGGTCTAAAGCTAGTGTATTTCCTGGACCTTGTGCTGAGCTTGAGTAGGAAATGATGAATGTACACTATCAACACTTTGGAGCATCCATTCCCTGCTCCCTGATAAAGGAATGTCACAGACGGGTGTGCAACACATAGGTGTAGCTTCAATCATATCCTTTTCTTTTTTTTAGCATACCCTGCAGATACTTCTGCTACTACACAACTTCTTAATTATCTTTATGGGCTTCAATCAACAAGTGGCTTTTTCTGTAATTCTGAATGTCTGTTGAACATCTCATATTTGAGACCTGCATTTTCTTATCACAGTGCAGTAGGCCAGTCACAGGAATAATTAAAAGCAAATTAATTACAAAATATTTTCCAAGCCTTTAGATGTAACTCAAAAAAGATCAGCTATTGGATTAAGATAGTACGGGTGATATTGCTCTCTGGCTAATGTTATATTCAGTCTTACCTAAATTTAAACATGATAGCATGGCAAAAATAGCTATTAATATAATATATATAATATAGTAATATATAATATAGTACTATAACAATCTTAAGGTTCATTTTAAACATGCAAGGAAAGTATCTGTAAGGCCATGTGAAAATGCAGAGTAACATCTTTCCATATCTGCAGAAAAAGAATCATTGGCTTATCCTAAAATATTTTCCCTTTCACTCTATACACCAAGCATGCATTACATGACATCTAATCAAATATGAGTTGCATATTAAATAATTTATTCAGCACTAGACATTTTCGAAGTAAATACCATAGCTAATTATCAACAGTTTATTTTTAACTCTGCAATCATTACTAATTCCACTAAACTGCAGAGGTTTGGTATCTTGGGTTTCTTGATGTTGACTGCTGTAAAATTAAAACTGTATTAAACTTTGTTTCTAGTCTGAAAAATGTCTTAGTGGCAGAAAAGAAACAAAACCAATAGAATAAGAAACAATAAAATCATTGAAAAACAACCAGCAGTGTCACCAAAACTCATCTGTGGCTTATTTGCAGCATGAAGTTGCCAATCTGAAATGCTCACCTGCAGTACAGATTTAAAAGGTTATTTTTCTCATTTTTTTTAAACTGTGCGGTATAATAATCTGGAAGTCCAAACAGGCTGGCAATACAGGTAGTCTTCAACTTACAACGCTTCATTCAGTGACTGTTTAAGTTACAATGACACTGAAAAAAGTGACTTATAACCATTTTCCCCACTTATGACTGTTGCAGCATCTCCACAGTCATGTGATCAAAATTTGGATATTTGACAACTGGTTTATATTTATGACGGCTGCAGTGTCCCAAGGTCGTGTAATCACCTTTTGTGACTTTCTGACAAGCAAAGCCAGATTCACATTACAGCCATGTTACTAACTTAACAACTGCAGTGATTCACTTAACAACTGTCTCGTTTAGCAATGGAATTTTTGGGCTTAATTGTGGTTGTAAGTTGAGGACTTCTATACAGAAAGTGTCGGAAAAGTAGGACATTAAAGTGACACAGAAAAGCACTTGTATAAAGCAACTCTTTATATATAGCTTCATATATGCTCTTATGTATAGAGAGCAAGAGAAGCTAAAAGGAGGCTTGTGCAACTGGCATCTTTACAAGCCAGTGTTCAAAACCCATTTGTTTCTTGGGGACAGGGTCTACTGAGGTGTATAAGAAGTGGCAAATACAGATTTCCCTCCCTCCATATCCACAATACAGGACTTTGGCTACAATAGTTGTTCTCATTGGGAATCACTCAATCCCATCAGCAGAATAAATTTTATTTGACTGGAAAATGTAGTTTTTAGTTCATCACTTTTCATTTAAAAGTGGACTCTGCCTCTGCCACAGTGGGAATAACTGCATGAAAAATACCAAACTCCCTGCAGCCTACTTAATTACTTCGTCCCATACCTCCATACAGATTTGAGGGTGGGAGAATATAATTTTTTCCCAAACTTCAATTATGAAATTATTAAAGATGTTGTAATGTAATGTGAATGAGGATCATGTTTATGTATGATTAAGATGGAGGATTAGTTTATTCCTAACCCATTCAATTTCATTTCTTTAACACATCTAAGTTATGAAAACTGAAACAATAAAAGATTGTTTTAGTAGATATTACAGAAACCACTGGGGTTTTTTTTTCAACTAAATGAAGAAATCTCTGTAAGTTTCAAGGCTATGTGTTTCTCATCCATACACCACCTCATTCGTGTGCAAAAAAATAAATAAAAAGTATTGCTCTTTAAACTAACTGTAGAATCTATGAAGTCCTATAGCTCAATATTTTTGGTATTTTTGAATGTGAATAAGCAAAAGTCTAATAATAAAATTGCGTGGAGAATAATCATTAATATATCTACCTACTATTAGAAAGAACATAATTATGAATCCTTAAAAAGTCATTAGATACAATTATGCTGAACATTTATATTATCAATTTAACCTAGTTAAAGAAAATAATTAAGCTGAATTGTTAATTTTGTGATAGCATTATAAACTGAAATAACTTATCATTTTTATACATGCATGCATATGTATGTGTGAATTCCTTAATGACATGTATTAGCTGAACATGACTTAGATGTCCTTTTATGCCTTCTATATGCAATTTTTCTAGCATATTTTGTGGTTTTGACATAGGTGCATCATAATACAGCTTGTGATGCATTTAGAATAATATGCAAAGGATAAAGTAATAAGTTAGGAAGTAAGTTATTGGGGAGACCCACAGATGGACATACATGCAAGCATACACTGCATGTGTTAGGAACAGGGAATAGCTCTTTTAATGTCCCTGCCTAACTGGCACCCATTAAAAAAAGCTCAGTTTCAAAATGAGTATCGCATAAGTGGTGACTTGTACTGTCAGACAGGACTTTTAGGCAGGAAAAGAAATTGAAGCATGGAGAAATTCTGACCAATGACATAGTTCAGAAAGTGCAGCAAGGTAGGAATTTATGAGATTTTAGGGCCACATGACCCAATTTTTCTGAAAGAGCCAAAGAATCAAAGCCTTCTACAACTGGATTTTTTGATCAAATGTTGCACTTATTTTATGACTCACGTCTTTTAAAAAAAAAAAAAATCTAGGACCATTCTTTTGCAGAGCAGCTAGACTTCCCTGTTGAAGTATGCTAAACAAATGCATCATCAGTCTAAATATAGATCTGGATTTAAAGTACACTACCTTAAATAAGAAATGATAGAATGAGTCATGTTTTTTCCCACTGTCATCTCCAGCAAGTGAACAGCTACATTAGGAAAGCACAGAACTGCTTCTTGAGATGGTAAAATCAAATTCAAGCCACTGATCCCTTAATGCCTTAAGAATGTTTATGATCTCACCTTAAGTAACTGCCTAAATAGAAGCAGATAAGAAAACACCTTATTCAGAATTATAGTTAGACCTCATTAATTATATTAGAATATGCTTCTTCATGCTTAATCTCTATGATTCAATACCTGGACATCTGTACAGCTTTCTAGCTTGTGCAATATCTCCTTTACTTAATCGTGTGCGCTGACCAATGGCCGGTCGGATCCCATTATCATCCCGGGAGGGAAGTATTGTATCCAGAAACATACCCCTAAAAATAATTAAGAAGCCAAAACAAAAATAAAAAAACCAACTTATTTTTCATATCAAAAGTTTTGAATTTATTCAAGATACTCTTCAGCATGTACATTGCATTCTAGAATAAAATGAGAATTAGTAACAAAAAGCAGCCAGTGAAATGGAAAAATCAACAATTATAATGACATGGTTATTTGATTAGTCTGGCTTGTTCCTGACATTCACACAATAGGTGAAGAAATTGTTCTGTTCAAGGCCTTGTTCTAACAACACATCATCTTGATCTTGACCAATTATTTTAATTATACTTATTTCAAGAGAATATTAGGAACCAAAAAAAATCCACAATACAATGATTGGTTCTCATATTGCTAATTAGTTCATTAAAATCTGCTTCAAAGGCCTTCATTTTGTTTTTCAAAACCTCAGTGCACAATCATTTTTGCAGTTTTTGATGTGTGAGATATTAATGCATTGTTGAAATTTTCATTACAGTGACAAGAATACTTATTTAAATATTTATTTAAAATAACAGCAGATCTTAGGAACATAATCAGAAAAAGCTTTCAGAACCTTAATCAAAAGAGGCAATGTTTGGACTTCCGGTGGATCTGCGCACGCGATGGCGGCTACTTTGTAGCCGTCCTCCTGGGTAAGTGTTTGAATCGCTATGAACAGCAGCCATCAGCTGTTCAGCGGTTCAAAATCCCCCTCCCGGGCAAAGGGGGGGGAAGAGGGTTGTCTGAATAGTGGTAGAGCCACTCTCATGCACCCCCAAGGCTTTTTTTGGGGGGGTGAGAGGAGTGCTCCCACGGAGTTCAGACTGTCTCCGCTTCCCAGCTGCTTTTGTCCCTAGGGACAAAACAAGCCGCTGCAACCACCTCTGCGATTAAAATGATCTGGTGAGTTTCTTTTTCAGAGGTGGACAGAGCTGAGTAGAGGATTTAGCTTTTGCTTTCTTTGATTTTATTTGGATTTTAAGTTTAAAGATTTACTTTTACTTTTATATTCCCTCTTTTTATTTTTATTTTTTTCCTTTTGTTGAAAGGGAAAGTAAAATGGCGATCGGCAAGCCTTTCGGTTTTTTTGGGGGGGGAAGGTAGAATGGCGATCGGCAGGCTTTTTGGTGTTTTTTTTTATCCTTTTCCTTTTTTTAATGATTGGAACGGAATGCGGATTTGATTTTGATGTTGGGTTTGGATTTTAGAAGCATTATTATTTTTGTTTAACTTCTTTGTTTTGCTTTTTATACTTTTAAAAAAATGGAATGGATTTTTTTCTATTTAATTATTTTTTTCTTCTTCCCTTTTCTTTTTTTAACTCCTTTCTTTTTATTATAATGATCTCCTTTTGAAGGATTTTTTGATTTTTTGGAGTTAATCTCTCTTTTTCTTTTGTTTAATTTTTGTAACTTTTAAGAAGGAGTAAAGATTTTTCTAAGATGGCTCCAAAGCGTTCAGTATCTTTTTGTTATAATGATCTCCTTTTGAAGGATTTTTTGAATTTTTTTGGACTTAATCTCTCTTTTTCTTTTGCTTAATTTTTGTAATTTTTAAGAAGGAGTAAAGATTTTTTTTAAGATGGCTCCAAAGCGTCCAGTAATTCCTACAGCTCCTAAGGTGGTTTCTTCTTCAGTTTTATCATCAGTGCAACAACCTAAATCAATAGCTTCACCCTCTTCCTTGGTACAGCCAATAATTGTGAAGGATTTGCAAGATATGATGGGAAATGTTATATCTCAAATTAGGGCAGAAATGAAAGAGATTTTAGAGGAAAATAATAAGATTTTGAGGCAAGAGATAGTTTTGGCTCTAAAAGGAGTTGCCTCTGTTCTTGAAAAGCTGAACTCTTGTGTAGAAGAGGTAGAAGAAAACAGTGGAATTGATGGAGGGAAAATTTGAAAGCATGGAAAAAGAAATGGAAAATGAGATTCTTATGTTTCAATATAGACAAATGGAATATGCCTTAAGAATCAGAGGTTTGGGAGAGTCTGTGCAAGGAGATCTGAGAGAGATGGTTGCAAAGGACTTTGCTGTGATTTTGAATAAAGAAAAAGAGGAAATACTTAGTGAAATTGAAAAATTATTTAGAGTTAACTCTGTGGTGGCAGTGCAAAAGAATTTGCCAAGAGATGTGGTAATTTACTTTGGGAAAAGATCCCTGCGCAACGAAATTATACAAGCTTTTTATAAGAAGAGATTTCAAATTGCTTCACAAGATGTTATAATTCTAAAGGAGATCCCATCTAAAATTTTAAGAAGAAGAAAGGAGTTTGCTTTTTTAGCAGATGAACTTAAAAAGAGATGAATCTTGTTCAGATGGGATGTTCTGATTGGAATGGTGGTGAATTACCTGGGGATATGTTATAGACTTAATACTGTTTCTCAAGCAAAAGACTTTTATACTTCGGTCCTGGGGGTATGTTCATCGCCATCTATTAAGTTTAAAGCTTTGGAAGAAAAGAAGGTAGAATTGCAGTCTGAAGAGCCTATACTTATGAAAATTGGAAAACCTCAGTTTGAGGGGCCTCAACAAGTTGAAATGGAGGAGCAGAGGATAACCTGTGCAACATATAACTGTAAAGAAAAGGAGCAACAGAAGAAGGTTAAGGAAGCCTCACAACTATTGGTTTCTGAATCTGCGGGAGAAGTAGGATTTATAAATTTTTTGGAGCAACCTTTAAGGGTAGAATTGCAGTCTGAAGAGCCTATATTAATGAAAAATGGGAAATCTCAGTTTGAGGGGCCTCAACAAGTTGAGATGAAGGAGCAGAGGACAACTCGTGCAACATATAATCGTAAAGAAAAAGAGCAACAGAAGAAGGAGTTTAAGGAAGCCTCACAAGTATTGGCTCCTGAGTCTGCGGGAGAAGCAGGATTTATAAACTTTTTGGAGCTACCTTTAAGGGCAGATTTCAAAGCACTTCTTTCGAGATTTATGGATAAGAGAGACTGACAAGGATGGAGATCGAATGAAAATTCTAGATAAGAAGTTTAAGTTTAAGTACTTAGTTTAAGTATTCAAAAGAGTACTGAGTCTGTGGGAGAAGCAAGATTTACAAACTTTTTGGAGTTAGCTTTAAGGGCAGTTTTCAAAGCACTTCTTTTGAGGTTTATGGACAAGAGAGACTGATAAGGAATGTGTTTATTGTGGATGGAATTTGTTATTGGTAAAGATTTAAATGTGTATAAGAGAATTTTAATGGTTTATGGACAAGAGAAATTGATTAGGAATGTGTTTATTGTGGATGGAATTTGTTATTGGTAAAGATTTAAATGTGTATAAGGGAATTCTAATGTTTTAAGTAATGTTCAAATTTGTGTTTTGGAGGGAGTTTATAAAGAATGATGGATAATAACATAAGTATGATATGAAAAGGTTCAGAGTATATTATAATGTGTTTAATGATTGGGTTTTATTATTATTATTATTATTATTTTTAAGAGAAGATAACTTGTTTAATTAAATGTATCTAGATTTGTTTAGGATTTATATGTCTTTTAAGTTTTTTTTTTTGATAGGAGAGAAGATTATGGAGATTGAATGAAAATCTTAGATAAGAAGTTTAAGTTTAAGTATTTAGTTTAAGTATTCAAAGAGTATTTAGTTTTAATGGTATAATGAAGGTTTATATGTTTATTTTTGTGTTCTAGGATAAAGAAAGAGGGAGAGATTAGATTTTATATTGTAGGTATAGATATTCAAAGAAAGTAATGTTTAAATTTGTGTTTTGGAGGGAGTTTATACAGAATGATGGATAATAATATAAGTATGATACTAGAAAATGTTTAGAGTATATTATAATGTGTTTAATGATTGCAATTATTATTTTTTAGAGAAGATAACCTATTTAATTTAATGTATTTAGATTTGTTTAGGATTTATATGTGTTTTAAGTTTTTCTTTTCTTTTTCTGAAAAATTTTAATTAAGCCTGTACTCAGCTCTGGGAAGGTTGGGGGAGGGTTTGGGAGGTTTGGGGAGCTGGGGGAGGGTTTGGGGAGGGGATTTGTTTTGTAAAATTTAAAAAACTTTCAATAAAAAAAATAGAGGCAATGTTTCAAATTGGAACAAAGCAATTATTGTAAAATGTTAATAATATTAAAACCAATCAACATGCAAGAGGCTATCCAAGGGATGGAGATAGATATATATATATATATATATATATATATATATATATATATATATATATATATATATATATATATATATTTGTATGCAAAAGATATGTATGCATAAATAAGACTGGATTGTATCATTTTGTAATTACATGTATCCTTTTCAAAATAAGTAATTTTAAATGGACAAATTATGTGTCCATAATTGAAAAGATATATTATCTTCAAACTACAAGATTTTATCATAGAATAGCTGGAACACTATACAGTGTTTCTATTGAGATTCTATTATATTCTATTTTGTTCTGTTCTGTTCTATTCTATTCCTGCTTGAGAGCAAGCAACTAAAATTCATTTTTAATGTGGGCCATTGTGTCCACAGTAAAAAATTATAATAAAGGTCTGTCTGTCTGTCTGTCTGTCTGTCTATCTATTTATTTACCTATCTATCTATCTATTATAGGCACAGTGATTATTTTTTCTATAAAATAATTTTTAAAGATATTAAGTAAAGCTTTTAAAACCTTTTTTTTTTTTTTAGCATTTTAGGAAAGCATTCTTCAGTTTCTTACTTCCATAGCCAAGTCAAGGCTCCAATGGTTCCGAAAGCAATATCTATAAGCCAAAAATATAAACACAGGGCATTCCTCTACCATTTCTCACAATTGGAAAGTTTTCTGGAACAGTATTTGGAAAGAATCTGACACAAAACTGCACAGTTTAAGAAATCTTCCTTAAAACAATCATTCCCCCCCCCCAAAAAAAATGATGAGACCTTCAATAAAGCCACAAAATACATTTGGGCATTTGGCAAAGAGGTGCAACATCACAAAGCAATTCAACTGCCTAAATCAGAGCAACATACAGAGAGTATCGACACTGAAGAATAGAATTATAAGACAAAAGGTATAACCTGAGATTCCAACCTTGAGAAGGTGTTCCTGGCATAGTGCATAATGCTATCAAAATCGTATGATTCTCCCAGAGAATTCACCTCTCCGGGCTCCATCTTCAAAAAGTTGTACTCCTGACCTGTAATTCGTAAGATTTCAAACATTTTTTTCAAAAGGAAGAAAGGGAAAAACCCATAACTCCTTTTTATATGCAAATTATAATATATTATGAGTAGATATAAACAATTTGCTTACGAAGGCTAACACAGAATTGGGATATATGTGCACAGGTAAAAGCAGCTTTCTAATTTTTCCTTTAAACAGCAATAACAATGTACCTGTTTGCTCATGAACTGAATTACTGATGGAACAATTGTCTGAAATGTCATCTTGGTATGCAGCATATTAAGAAAACTATTATTTCCTGTCACCCTCTGACTTGATTATTCCACGCTTACTTTCTTATTTTCTACAATGCATTGTGGAAACATAAAGACATTGGTTGCAATTTTACAGCACATATTATTAATTAACAATACAACATAGCCCAGGAATTATAAGAAGCAGTACCTAGTTGACCTTGGTTGATCTCAAAAAGCCAAGCAAGATCAAACCTGGTTAGTACTTAGATGGCAAGCCCACCAGAAAACTCCAGGTTGATAGATTAGACTAGGAAAAAAAATATCTCTGACAAACTACTTATATAACTGTTGTCAGAAACTGTATGGATGTGTTAATAAAGTCAACAGGTTTGATTGATAAAAGAAGATTTTAACTTTTATATAAATCAGACTATTAAAGATAATTTAAATCTTTATTGGAGATTATCAATATGTATATTTATTTCTATAATTTCTTCAATAATTGTCCCCATCTATAGACTTTTTTCCTTCTCTTTTTCCATCCACAATACTCCATTCTTGGAGGCATCCTTCTTCATTTATTTACATAGACAATTTCTACGGCCACTCATCCCACTACTATGTCTCTGGGCAGGTAGCAATAATTCACCCCACAAAAAAGAACAACAATCCAAATAATTAAAATAATTACAGCCACAATAAAAATAAGGTATCTTAGAGATCCAATATTCATGTCTCATAGGTCAGCAACAAACAGAACAATATCAACCAACTAAACCAACAGCATCCAACCTTTTGGGCACCAAGGACCGGTTCCATAGAAAGAGATTTTTTCATGGACTGGAGGGGGCGTGGTTTCACGTGCTGCCTATATCCCGTGAATGGGGTTTCACTTGTTTGCGAAGCTCAGTTTCTGGCATGCCACGGACCAATTCTGGTCCATGGTTGGGGACCCTGAACTAAATAACCAACTGTTTATATTAAGTGAAGCAAGTAAGGAAGTTGACAACTAATTAAAACAGTACCCATTTCATTAGGAGAATGAATTACAACTTTAATCTACAAGATTCAATGCTTATATCCAAAGCAGTTTCTTACAAAAATTAACAGACCAATTTTTAATTACCAATAATTAGATGCTCCAATCCCAAAAAGCACATCAGGTACCTTCTAGATGTTGCAAAACTACAATTCTCAAAAGCTCAATCCTGATGGCAGTTTTGATCTATGACATCAATCTAAAATATCTGGGAAACCATCTTAGAATTATCTCACCTGGTTGAATGTTCTCTCTGATGATGGCGACATGATCATCTCTGTCTGGTCTCGTGTGCTCATGCCAAAATCCTATTACATGTCCCAATTCATGAACAACAATTCCAAACTTATCACAATTCTTGCCAATAGAAATTGCTTGAGGACCATTGCCCCTTCGGCCTACATAGGAGCAGCATCTGCAATTTAGGATAAGAAATGAAGTGAAATCATTTGAAAGTACACTTCCAAGAAGGAGCTGAGATCTATATTTAGTGTTTTTATTTCATATTTTATTGTAGGATTTGTTTTTAATAACTGTTTTGTTAAATATATGTATCATACACATTATAAAATATATTTTCTTGGATGCTTGTATTTGTGTCCAGATACTTTTGTATATATTTATATACATATTCATATACATACAGTATATATGTATGCATGTATATATTGTATATATTTAGCTACCAGATTTAAGTAAATATAAATGAAAACCAAATGATTCTTCACATACAATCAATTGCAGCCTGAACATTTTTTTCTCCACTCTTTCCCTAGAAGAAATATTTTGGCTAACTGAAACATATTATTTGTTGCTGATAATGGAGGCTGCTCTTTTTCTCCCATCTTCCTGTAATTTAAGATAAACAGCTCACATGTTAAAGATATGTGATTGGGTACTAGTAGTTATTTTTCAAATCAACTGTCCTGCTCATAGATGGAAGAGTCTTAATGGGGAGATGCTTCTGAAATAAGAAAAATGAATCTTTTTGCAATTGAAATTCCTCTTCAAGAAGTGGAGGTGGGGGGCAGAAGGAAGACAGTAAATATATATATCGTATGTCGCTTCTAATCTCTTAAAAAGCCACAAAAGCCTACATAATTTTGGCTAATGACACAGAAGCTTTTATTTACCACAGAGAAGTCAAGTAAAACTGAATAAAATGTACTGCAATATTCTAGGTCAAAACTAGATGTGAAGCTCTTCAACAGTAAATTTATACGATGAAAGCAAATTATCCAGGCATATACACTTATGTCATAAACTTTTTCAAGAGTTCTTCAGACTGGAAATTATACTGACATGTAGAATTTAGAACAGAATATTGCAGTGGGAAATATTGAAGATTTTTGAGGATTCTACCTAGGTTATCTTGTTCTCTTTCAAAATGTTCTATTTTTGTTTTTTCTGCAAATGTTTTTAGTCTGCTAAACCTTCCTCTTGTGTAAAGATGATATATTTTGCTTCCATAATAAAATCCATATTAAGAAACTAAGTTTATTATTAGACTATAGATTTGGGTCTACAGCCACATATCTATAATACGAGTTGATAATATTCTGAAAAGAAAAAAGTAACTGGAATGTGATAAAACACCAAATCACGTATTGGAAAACATACTGATAGGGGTAATTTGTTTATGTTAGTTGTGGGATATCATATCAAAAACTGCCATCAGAATAAAGTTTTGATTTAAAAGAAATCAATTCATAATACAGTCATTCAAATAATCATGATTTGAATAGCAACTTAATTAATAAATGCAACATGTATTTACTTACATAATTTATTAAGCAAATATAACACAAAACTCTTTTATGTATAAAATCAATAAGTTTTAGTATGAAGATTCCAAAAATCTACTTAAAAGCATGTTCTATAAATCCCTTTTGCAAAACAACATTATTTTAAGGTAATGCATAACTGAAACAGAGTTCACTATATAATGTAGGTTGTACGCTATTTTACATATGAGATTTAAACACTCTGAAAATAGTTGTTTATGAGAAGCTTTTGACCTATTTCAGAAATCCACTGTTTGCTCAGGACATGTAGGTCACATTAAATAAAACCACAATAGAAACATTTTAAATAAGCATCATATTTTGGGAAAATCATTTTTAAGTTAATCATTCTAAGTCCTTAGTACATATAATCTCTTCCTCCCATCTGTCCCACTATTTCCATCTGCTGCCTGCATGAGTATTTCAGTTCTCAACAGACCTGAACACTCAGGTAGCCCTCCCATGGGCTTTCAGATTACCATTTGCAAAAGTTATTTGACAAAAATGCATGCTTGACTATAATGAAAGGATACAATATAGAAAGATTCCGTACTACCCACAATGGAGGAATGGTTAGTGAAAATGCTGGAACTTGGAAAAAATGGCTAAATTAACTTATTTGATCAGAGAAAAAATGGTCTTTACATCTATGGCTCAATGGAAACCCGACAGACTTTTTGCATGAAATGGGAAAAATTGCACTTATAATTCACGCCCTTAATGATTACAAAAATTGGATAATAGAAAATAGTGAGCTTTTCTTTTTGAAATTATAGAGTAAGAACTAATTTAGTAATTATATTTGCTGAAAAGGAAATGGAAGCTTTTTGTATTTCTTTTTATTCTTTCTGTATTTTTCATTTACTATCTTCTTTCTTTGAATCCCTTTACTTTTTATTAATTTGTATTAATTTTTATGTTCTTTGTAAAAATTTTAATAAAATACGTTGTACTATATCCAGTATATGTACAGTATATACAGTATATAGTGTGTATATATACACACATATGCACACATATACATGAATGCGTACACATGTACTGTAATATTAACCAATTATTATTTAGATCCCACCTTTATTATTTTTATAAATAACTCAAGGTGACGAATATACCTAACATTCCTTCCACTTCCACAACTTTGTGAAATAGGTTATGCTGAGAGTGAGTGACTAATAATAATAATAATAAAGTTGGAAGGGACCTTGGAGGTCATCGATTCCAACCCCCTGCTCAGGCAGGAACCCTACACCATTTCAGACAAATGGCTGTCCAGTCTCTTCTTAAAAACTTCCAGTGTTGGAGCATTCACCGCTTCTGGAGGCAGGTTGTTCCATTGGTTAATTGTTCTAACTGTCAGGAAGTTTCTCCTTAGTTCTAAGTTGCTTCTCTCCTTGATTAGTTTCCATCCGTTGCTTCTCGACCTGCCTTCAGGCGCCTTGGAGAATAGCTTGACTCCCTCTTCTTCACGTCTAACGTGGGACTACAACTCAGTTTCCCAGTTTCTAGTCTGGTGCTTTAACTACTAGACCAAACTACTATATTAACTTTTAAAGAATACATAATCCTAAAACTTATTTAGAAGAAAAATGTGATTCCAAATTAAATAACAAAAAGCAATATTCTTAAACATTGATAAAATAAATTTCATTTTAATATATTTAAGATGCATGTAAGCATCATAATTTCCTGAATCCGTATGCTGCTAAAACTCTCACGTATATAGCCTCCAATTGGTTGAAACGATGAATCACAGGGCACCAATTTTTGAACCAATTCTATAGCTCAAACAGGTTAACTTACACAAACTAAGACCTCATTATCCCAGAGGGAATGAAATTTGGGAAAATTGTGGCGGCTTCAATGCTGACAGGCCTCAGTGCCACCACTATGCTGTTACAGTCACATGATCCTCTTTCAATGTTCAATGTTTCCTGATAGCTTTCCAGCCACTCTTGTAATCCTTCATTTCACCCAGCATCAGCCACTTACCTGATGAGAAGGGAAGGGAATGGGAAACAGAAAATAAAGGAGGGAGGGAGGGAGGGAGGGAGGGAGGGAGGGAGGGAGGGAGGGAGGAAGGAAGGAAGGAAGGAAGGAAGGAAGGAAGGAAGGAAGGAAGGAAGGAAGGAAGGAAGGAAGGAAGGAAGGAAGGAAGGAAGATTTCTAATGTTCTCTGTCAGCTTCCATAAGGCTATGGAGTTGGGAAGCTGACAGGAAGTCAGAAGTTGCTGTTTTTTCATCATTATACAAATATATAATAATGCTTAAAACAGATTTGAATATTAACAGAGTATATCAAAACCGAAACATAGTTAGGATATAAATCTCATGCGTATCTTTTTTGTAACTCACAACTTGATACAAATATATAGGCTGTGGGTATTGTGTCATAGCACAATCAGTCTGTGATCATAGCCTCTCAATAAAATGTAATTCCACTCTTCTGTGGAGTTGATTTTTTGGTCTGGTACCCCTAGTTCAGGAGTGTCAAACTCGCGACGTCATGTGACATCGCGCAATGTATTAGGCCGGTTTTGCCATTGCCGGCAATGGGGTCAGTGCAGCTTCAGTATGATGAAACAGGCCCGCGGGCGGACAGTTTGACACCCCTGCCCTAGTTGGCTCACAATTCATTAGAAACCATATCTTTTATATCAACTTACCCACAAGGCCGGTATGTAAACACTATATAACTTTCTTCATCACTTCGTTCAATGAATGTAACACAGGTATATTTTTCCCAGTGTCGCATTGCCTGCTTGAACATTGCTCGCTGGCTGCCTGAAATCAAAATTTGTAACAAAATCAAAAATTTCACAAACAAAATAAAGTATATCACCCCAACAATAGTAAAGTTAAATTTTCAATTTTGAAACAAATGAGAGCAGGAAGGTTTTAAAGACAACAGAATTCTGAAGGTGGTTGGAAGAGCTGGGTAGCAACTAGTGAAATCTTACAAAGGAAGAATCTTTTTTTCAGAAATACATAAACAAATTGCATATGTTAAATATATTAATCTAAGAATTTTTAATCACCCGTGTTTAGAAAGAAATATATCAACTGTCAGACTGAAATTTCACAAAAGTTGTGGCCATCAGACTGAACACACAGCCATCATCCAAACCTTGTACCACAACATGCTTAATTAGTTTGTCCTAGTGGATTATCATTGGTGCATGAAATACGTGCATTATTTCATTTTTAATTTTTGGGGGGAACTACACTATTATTTTAAATATGATAATTATTTTGAAATAGAGAATTTCTGTTTGATTGAATAACGAATGAAGGCTGGGAATTTCCTGACATTACTGTATACTTGATAAGTATTTGAAGGTGTAAACTTTATAAAAGGGCTTAAAAAGATTTTTTTATAGATGTGGATTGATGAAATGATAGAATATATTTTTAAAAATAGAATTGTATTTGTTGGATTTATATTGTTATTTTAAACATGAAAAATATGCTGTAATACAGAGAGAGTAAGAGCTACTTGTGATAGGGAAAAAATTAGTTTTAATGAACGATCTATTATTAAGGATACCTGAAATCCCAACTATATGTCTATTGAAATGTAACTGGAATATGACAATTGTAATTAGTAAAGCTTAACACAGGAATAGATTATCATAACTGCAAGGTGATTGAGGATTTTTGTTTGATTGAACTTTATCTAAAATTGTATTAATTTTAATAAGTAATATTATTCCTTACAGAGAGGAAATTGTTTATAATTAATTTGAGCCACATGTATATGATTTTGTTTTTGAATGATTTGACACTCTGACCACCACGTTGTGTCCTAAGCTTTTGTAAAAAAAAAATGGAAAAAACCAATAAAACTTTTAGTAAAAAAAAAATACGTGCAGTTCATGTTTATTGCTATGCCATTTATCCAACAGCTGTTAATAACATGGGGATAATATGTCTTGGTATCTTTTACGTATATGCTAGATAATGAACAGTATATTGTTGCAAATGCCAGAGCATCAAACTAGGGACAAAATAATGGGAAAAAATGGTGAAAGGCAATTGAGCTGTGTTTGAATAAATTGGTGTGATTGATACATTTACTATACTCCCTAAGAAAAAGCTGTTTGTGTACATACACAACTGTTCTCTTCACACTATTCTCTTTCAGTGTACGCAATGTTATATAAGGAGCAAAAAAGGAATAAACCAAAGAAATAAATACTTGAGATAAGAAGAAAAAGGAAATATAGTTAAATCTAGTTTATATCAACATCATTCATTATAGCTCTCCATACCATTTATCCTTACAGAGTCATTGTCTCTTTGATCCATACAATGCTTCATATACTTACCTTTTCTTTTTTAGATTTCTCACCTCTCTCATTTTGAGGACCTCGTCAACTTTACCTTTTTCAGCCTTCCTTTTTCTCTCAACCCTTTCTTATACTTGTTTCATGAGTCAATCCTCATTTGTTCTCACTATACAATAAAATCATTTCAATGTACTTCTTTCACATGGACATTCACTTCTATATTCCATACATATTTATTTCACACCCTTTTTAAGCCCTATTCTTCTTGTCTTAACACATACCACACACACACACACACACACACACACTTGCATTTGCCTATCGAATGAAACCTACATTATTTTTCTGTACGTATTCATCAATTCCACTGAACAGTATCAAAGTACCTTTATTCATATTTGTTACATTTTCTCCTTTCTTAGCTTTATGTGTTTATATATGTTTGTGTGCGCGCACACACACACATATGTATATGTATATATATAGAGAGAGACAGAGACAGAAAGTGAGAGAGAGAGAGAGGGGGGGGGGAGAGAGAGAGAGATTATTTTGGTCATGAAAAGGTTGGCCCTTAGAACCTTCTGCTGCCCATCATGTCTTTAGTGAATTGAGGAGTTTACTTGAATGTTATTAGTAGGTTAAAGTTACTCATCTTAATCACACCGTGCCACAAGCTGCATTCCCTGCTACTATACTGCTAAGGACAGTGTGTATCCTTTGTCAATGTTTATTTCCCGTTTCTAGAACCTTGAAATGTATATGCATTCATCATTAGTTAATGGACTGCATTATAATGTTGCATAAATAAATAAAGGAGTAGATTTGGCATCCCAGTATTAACACCAGCATTTTCCAACTTAAGTTTCCACTCGGCAACAGGAGCAGGCAAGAATCTTAGTTTATAATGCAATAACATCTGGGAAGTTAAATCTGGGGAAAATCTGACTTACTACCACTAGAAAATATAATACATTGCATTACTCTAAAAGTGAAGTTGGTTAAGTTTGTTAATGACCACTTTTCCATAGCTTTATAATAAGCACTATTACATTATATAGTTTCTTTTAATGATTCATAGGGTGGGTCATAACACATGGAAATACATCTGTATCATTCAGGTTCCAGCATATGCAAATAATTTAAAATGTGGTATTATTAAATACATTAAGATTAATTGCCATTTCATGGAATAGAATAAAATTATAAAAGAAGGAATTGTCTTCAAGACATCTCCAATTGAATTGCTAAATATATATTTTTCTATTTGGGAAGGCTTGGCTCACATGTCTGATAAATATGCGTCTTGGTCTGCCTTACCAGTGAAATTTCCTGCTATGACATATGGAATAACACCTCCTGGCCATATTCTTTCTGTGCGCGATGTAGCTGCCCGGGAAAATCTTTTTCTCTCGTTGTTCCCTGAGAAGGTTAAAGTTGGTCTTGCCTTTGTTTTATTATTTTGTTCAAAATCTGCAATGACATTTTTATGTTGTAAAATACCATTCTTAATATTGTGCTAACAGTAACATTTTCTTCAGATAAATGAGCTTTTTCCTCTCACACATAGTCAAGCTTTGCATTATGGTGAATATATATGATTTAAGAAATATATAGTAACATTAATGATTACTATATTATTATTGTTCGTTATAACTATTTATCATGATAGTCAAGGTATTTTGAATATTCACTTTTCTGTACTACTGTCAGCCCTGCTATGCTGATTCACCCTTGGTATCTCCTCCTGTTTTTTCCTTAACTCTTGTTTAAATAATGTGCCAAGGAATCATACCAGTATTTCTTTGCCTAGGAAGTTATTTTTGGGTTAAAGAATAATACATTTTGTAACAAATATTTCTAAAACTGTAATACAGGGGTGTCAAACTGCCGGCCCACAGGCCGGATGCATCACGCAGAAGCCGCACCCACCCCAGCTTCAGCAAGGGGAAAAAAGTTGTGATACATCACGACACGTCATGTGATGTGGTGAGTTTGATACTCCTACTGTAATAGGTATTTTATTTGTATGCAGAATTTGTTTTGAGGTGTTTAATGTGAAACAAGATAAATGAAAATTATATTTTTAAAAAGATACAATTGCTTTTAAATGTTTACTTTTCTAAAGAAAAGATTTTGTGTTTCAAATGCATGTAGAGTTCCCAAGCCAAGAAACACTTTGTATGATTCCGAATGATATTCCTTTACTGCACTGAAATTAAAGTTGATGTGCAGAAGAAACTTTACTAGAAAATAAAATGCAAATTAGACTTGGGACAAATTTCACAGAATCTTTGTTAAGGATTATCAAATACATCCACAATGGACTTGTCTAAATTAGCTCTTGCAAAATGCAAAATCTAATATTATGAATGGCATGAAAGGCAGTTCAAATGTAACCAACTGCAATACATCAACCTTCACTAGAAGCATAAATGTTAGAACACATTTAGAAAAAATAAGTCAAAATCAGTGTTATTTGTAAGGAAAACTATGTTAAAATTAATGAACATTAGGGTTTTATTGCCATTAAATATAGCATATTTACAGGAAAAATAAGGAGGAAAAAGTTATTAGGAAAAAATATGAGGGGCCTTTATGATAAAATATACTGCAAACCATACTCTGCATGATAACTGAAATGTTTAGAATATGGACGTACTATAGGTTTTTTAATTTCAATTTAATTTGAACACAGATCACATACAACTATATTAGGCACTTGTATAAACTGGATTTAAAACATCTCTAAAAATCTTTCATTATTGGCATTCACATTTAGTTTATCTACTTACTGTCATGGCGACTCAAAGATTGAACTAAGAAAGGTATGAAATGTCTTATATTACACGCAGCGATGAATTGAATTTAAGCAGCTTGCCCATACCTGACTCAATTCTTCTTATCCTGTCTATAAGCTGATAGAGAACATTGCTTTTTTCTGATACCTCACGTTCTTCAAAGCCACCTTTTAAAAGAAAAATAAAAGTAAATGGAAAATTGCATGCCTGCATTTAGCAAATGTATTTACAAAAAGTAGATGAAGAATATGGAATATTTTAAATGTTACATTATTGAATTACTATAACATCTTCCCCCTTGCCCTAGTGATTTTGACTATGAACGATAAAGAATAGCTTTCTTTTAAAAAATTCAGTTTACGTGCTTGATCATATTTGAGAGGCTATCGCAAAGAAAAGGGGGACAACCTATTCTCCAAAACACCTGAGGGCAAGACAATAAGTAACAGATGGAAACTTATCAAAGAAAGATCCAACCTAGAACTAAGGAGAAATTTCCTGATAGTGAGAGGAATTAATCAGAAGTTGTGAGTTCTCCAACATCAGAGATTTTTAAGGAGAGATTGGGCAGTCGTTTGTCCAGAATGGTACAGTCTCCTGCTTGGGCAAGGGGTTGTGCTTTAAGACTTCCAAGGTCCCTTCCTACTCGACTAGCACTGATGATGTTACCTAGTTTGGGTAATGAAATGTCTGCAAGAAAACAAGCAAGCTCGGAGAGCACCAAGGACCCTTCCCTTCAACTCTGTATATTCTCTATAGCTATTCAAATCCACTGACTTTAAAACCTTTTTAAAGAATGCAAGGCAGTTTATTTGACTGAGATGTATTCAAAACTATTAACTGTTTTCAGCTGTAATAAATCATTTAGGAATAGAAACTCCAGTGCCACAATTTGAATGGGGTGCTTTAAAAGCTACTTACAGAGACAGGGGCCATTTTATCCCAGATTCACTGCTTCATTTATAGGCTATCAAGAAATACTGTATTCTGTTCACTTATCTACTGCGATGTTTGTGACAGTAATACTAAATGAGATAATAATATAAGCATCTAATAAGCTTAATTTTGCTGTTATGCATTGGGTTACACAGCACTATGAATGGGCATCTGTAATAAATGGAGCTTTTGTCAAAATGATAAAACATGCAGTTCTTTTTCTCACATCTTAGGTGCTATATCATGATGGAAATACAGAAAGGAGAAGGTTTTCCTCATGATGCATATTTTTTATTTGTACCTTATTACCTATGACATCATCAAAACAACATTTCAATGAGACAATATGGATTAGTCCAAGGGACACAAATTAAATTATTTAAATGGCCAAAAGGATTAGATTTTTAGAAGTGGCCAAGATGGTATAAACAAAAAATATCATTTTAATTGCCTGGAGATTGAAAGTTGATGTTTGACCGAAACGTTCATAAGTCTGGTCACAGAACTGAGGGAAGCAAATTTGAAGTTGAACAAAAACCAAAACTTCCAGTCCAGGAATCATGTGGAAGAAATTTTCCAATTAGTTGAAGCAAATGTGAAGCTATGTTGGAGATACGTATTGAAACCAAGAAAAAAAAAACACATTATTGTTACTGATATGAAGGCAAAGAAAAAAAAAGTACCATATGGTTTCTGTCCTGACTATGGGCCTTTATCGACTACTAAGTAAAATTATTATCCATCTGTCCTTGAATCAGGAAAAAAAAAACCTACTTCTTTACCATTCTCATTGCTAATCCATATCATCTACTACCTCTATTCTAAATCACTCCATATTAATGAGGTCCTGAATTTTGCATATGTTGCTTGTGAGAAACAAAATCTTGGTTTAATTCTATGGCTTTATTGCATATCAAGAGATAGATAATCCTTTAACAAAGACAACTGTGCAGAGAAATAAAATGTCTCTAACTTTAGGATTCAATCAGTCTTCTATAGGCTGCTTTGGAAGTCCCCTTCCCATATTCCATTTTGTCATAAGTTTTATAAAGTGGTTTATAAATTTTATAAGCTGTTAAGTGTTTTATAAATTTGATAAAAAGAATGGAGGTGAATCTCCAGCAAAACCCTCCTGGGACACAACAGTTTTGTTTAGGATTTTTCTCCCCATCCTATTCTTCCATTTATGCGCTATTCAGACTTACTCCAAATTGGAAAATACATTTAAAAACAAATCAGAGTGAAAAGATTTCTTACGTGTCCTCCCTGACACAAGGCTGATCTCTACTCTTACTTTCTATGAACATGAAGTAAAGTTTCTATCAAGTCAGAGTTGCCCTATGGTTACATTGAGGTAATTTTCCTGGCCACAATATAGGCTAAGAAGTTTTCTTGATATTGCACATACTGTTATATCTTCACTGACAGGAAAGCAAAATATCAACAGAAGAAACTGACAACAAGGGAAAGAAGCATCAGCATTTGCTTTAAACAGCAAATAATCTTGATTATATCCACCACTGGTCACTTAATTTGACTCCTAGACGTGAGGAATTTGACTCCTACTTCATCATTGTGTCAAAAGATATTCTTTCCCTTTTGGAGATTTACTTTTTCACAACGACATACTGTATATTTGATGACTATGTTTATGAACAAAAGAAATGAAAACAGTTCCAAACCTATCTGTTATTTGTTCAAATTCCCCTGTGAAGTAGTGTCCACATGATGCTCTAATTACATTCGCCCCTCCCATCAGATCTGGCAGGAGGCATATAATGTGGATTCTTGGTGGTGCCATCCGGCCTTGGGCCCTCAGGGAACCAATGAGTTGCTTGGTGGCTCCACAGCAGTTAAAATCTGCTGTCCCCTCTTTGACTTTTAATAACAATTTTTCTGGGTTTGTTAATTATTTTTATATTACTGTTTTATAATTTTTATTGCATCAGAGTCACTTTTCACGAAATGGTTAACTATATAAATATGAAAAAAAAATGAATTAAATAATTAATTAATTGTTTGACTGATAAATAATTACGCAAACATTCAAGGGCAAAAACATCCTGAACTTTAGAAATATTTAAAAACATTTTTGACAGAAATGTTTCATACACTTGAAAGAGGTTATTACTCAACATCAGTATAAAGTGAAGTACAATTTGAATACTGGAATAGCTAATCAGAGTTAAGAGAGTTTCAATGATGGTTTGGGAATGACATATGAAAAAACATAGGAAAAGAAGAGAAAACTGCTATGGTCAGGGAATCATTGTACTAGTTATATTATACTAGGAACTATTATACTAGTTATATGCAAATAAGAACATGTTTGTGGCCTATGATGAAATTGGCTTATGTGAAATTTAGGAAAAATTTAGGAAAATTAAGTATGTATTAATTACTTAAAAATTATACTATGTTTTGGCAAGTGACCTCATCAGCTCTTTTGCAATTTTCACTTAAAAACTGAATTATTTTTATCTAATAAATGTCTTTAAGGATTCTATCAATTTCATGTCTATCTTACTTAAGAATCAGTTTGTGACAGCAATGAAGTTTTTGGATAGCTTAACAAAATTGCGAGATATATTTGGCTGTGGCAAATAATTTATAGAATAAATCACAAAGTTTAACCGTGAAGGAAATTACTATTTTCCATTTTACGTGGTACTAAAAAGAGTGTAACTCACTGGATTCTATCACACACTAACAAAGAATAATTTTCAAATAATACTGTATATAACATTTACAGTTGCACTGCTTGCTTTAATACTTGACTGTGTTTGGAACTGATTTTTTGTAATCACACTCAAAGTTTTACATTATGTTGCTTCTAACTAATGAACATATACAGTATTATTCGAAATGAATACTTTCAAATAATACTGTATATAACATTTGTATTAGTTGCACTGCTTGTTTTAACATTTCAGCGTGTTTGGAATTGATTTTTTGTAATCATACTCAAAACTTTTACATTATGTTTCTTCTAATGACACTATTTACTTCCATCAAACAAGTTTAATTGCCATTACTAAAAAGATTATGAATAAATGTTTTAATCACTATTAGCCTATGAAACTGCTCATTCAAAAGAGAGAACTACTGAAATCAATGAAACATAGGTCAGCTATTTCAGTAATTCCTCAGATTTTTTTCAATATGTATTCTTCATGTAATCTTCTAAATTACATCATTCAAAAGGTTACAACAAAATGCACAGCGCCATATAAGGAAAATGTGTTGTGTCATTGCTGAGTAATTTACCTAATGCCTTCTACTGTCACATAGTTAGCAAGCCTTGAGAAAAATTTTTTGAATTTCTTTCTTAGATTTTAGAAGAATGAGGTAATATGTTAAGGCATTCCTATTCTATGAGCTATTTTGTCAACTTCCCAGAACACAAACATTTACTGCCCTGTGATGCAACAATTTTTTAAAGTAAGGTTTAGTTTAGGAAGTAATGTTTTAAATGAAATGGTCTTTCACCAAGGAAGTTGATATAAGGAAGCTATTTAAATAATGTTATAATAATTCCAGATTGTATTATACCAGTATGTCATCTTCTTTTCATTCATTAAACATATTTTTTTCTTTCTCAAAGTAAAATAATCAATAGAAATTCTAAGCATTTTCCTTGGTATTTAGGGCCATGACATATTTGTCAGATATATAACTTAAAAAAAATATTCTATTTTATCTGGAGGTGTTCACACATATTTCCTGCACAAAATATTAAGGAAATTAATCTGCTAGATACCATATGCTATTAAAGATATCAGACTGACCACATCATAATTTTAAGATGTCTTTGAATGAAAAGCCCAAATGTAAGCTAAACAAATATAACTGTTTCCCCTTACCTCATGATCCTATCAGCAAAATTAGACTGAAATGGCGCAGAGCTAAATATTCATTGATAAAGAAGATGGCATCTATTTATATTTTAAATCAGACTGTAAATGAGATCAGATATGCTACTAATTAAAACAACAGGTAATCTTCATAAAAATAAATGAAGATATACGGCAGTATAAAAATAGTCTACTCATCATATTTTAGTTATTTATTTATCAATTTTCTACACTGCCCATCTGATTTAAGTGACTCTGGGTGGTGTACAGTAAAAACATACAAAAATATATAAATATAGTTTAAAAACTGAGGTAAAGATGAAAGTGTTAAAAGATGTTAAAAGTTAAGAGGCAGAAGAAATGCCCTTAAGTCACCCCACTACCTACAGGGTAGCACAGTGATGACGAACCTTTTAGAGACTGAGTGCCCAAACTGCAACCCAAAATCCACTTATGCATCGTTGAGTGACGGGTGGGTGTGGCCCATTGGGTGGGCGTGGCCCATTGGGTGGGTGTGGCTGCAGTGGTAACGGCAGACTGGGCGGGACTAAAAAGTTCAATCAATCAATTCCAACTTTGCAAGATTTTTTTTTCCCACGAGAAGTTGAAATTGATTTAACCTTTCTTTTTTTTTTTGCACACGGTGGTGGAGGCCTAAAGCAAAAAGGTTTTATAAAACCCAGCTGAAGGCCTAGGACTGGGGTGACGGTGTGTGTGCCCACAGAAAGGGCTCTGAGTGCTGCCTCTGGCACCTGTGCCATAGGTTCACCACCACTGGGGTAGCATATAACTCAGACTACCATATTAACTGGCAGAATCTGGTCTTGATGCTCTTCTGGAAGGCTAGAAGAATGGGGGCCTGCCTTATCTCTGGATGTTTTAAAGTAGAAAGTAGAAAAGGCTTTCTTCCTGGATCCCGCTGATTGAAATTCTTCAATCAACGGGATCCACAACATAGCCTCCCTGCCTGACCAAGTGGGATGGGACAAAGTAATTGGGATTAGACGATTCCATTAGTAGCTGGTCCCGTGCCATAGAAGACTTTAAATGTAATAACTAACACCTTGAATAGGACCCAGAAGCAAACTGGCACCCAATGCAGTTCATGTAGCAGAGGTATTACATTCACAAGTCTAGGGATGCATAAAACTGTACCATACTGCACCAGTTGCAGCTTCTGGATACTCTTCAAGGATAGTCTGATATATACTGCATTGCAGTAGTCCATCCAGGAAATTACCAGAGCATAAATGACTGAAAGAAGGGCTTCTTAATCCAAAAAAGGGCATAACTGACGCTCAACACAAATTGAGAAAAAGCACTCCTAGCAACGAATGCCATATGCTCCTGAAGCAGCAGTCTTCAGGAAAATAAAATCTGCATGCACTCCTTTCCTTTCCCTTTCTTTATTATTACACCTTGCAATAATCAATCTGATTTTATTTCATTAACCATTGAATCATTTTTTTCTTCTCACAGCCCAAGACATTCTCAACTGTTTGTCCTGCGTAGTCGCTCAGGTCATCAGCTTATTTTCATGTCAGTAGTCCAGTTTTTACAGCCATTGATGCCTTTGTGGTCAGCATGATGTCACTGCACTGCATTTTTATATTATATCAAATAGAACAGTAGTCTTTTTCCCAAGTAACAGGCATCTCTATTTCATAAGCACCTTAACTAAATGACTACATTTATTAATTAACTGAAAGAATATATTTATTTGCAAACTTAGAATTATCCACAACTACATTATAAAACAGTATAATATATATAAAATTCTGAATATATAAATGAATAAAAAAATGTTTATAGCTTACCAGTATTATGTCCAGTTTTTCCCTCTGAATGTTGTGTAAGATCAATTGTCCTATCAATCTGAAAGATTTTTAAGTCTTCAACATCTAAGGCAATATCTCCCCAAAAGACAGCTTTAAATACAAAAAGAGAGCTTAATATAAATATATTAAAAATAATATCACACACACTTTTATTTGAAATGTATGGCTGTAATCAAATATAGAACTTTAAGGATATGTTGAAATTAAGGATCTTTGCTTGCTTAAAGTTTCTTGAAAATGTCATTACTGCGAAAGACTTTATAATGCACAAGATAAATTATACAGTTTAAATGCTGCAGTGTTACAGAAGTCTTTATTGTTATATTGACTTTGAAGATAGGTGTTCTAAATGTATTATTCTATACAATATTGAGTATTTGAGGATAGGAAGTTAAGGATATAAATCATTAAGAGAAAAAATAAATAGTTAAAATGCTATATGGCTATAGATAAGAGGTACCATGGAAATATAATTCTCAATTTCTATACAGTTACTTGGTAAAATAAACACTGCAATAATTAAAAATATGTTATCCCTTTTTTCTAATCAATAAGGAAATATTTTGTTCTTAAAGTATGTAAGTTTTAACATTTTAAATTTCACAATGTATTCTATCACAAATATAATCTTTTCAACAAGTTTGTTTTACTATGCAATATTGTTTCAACATGGAAAGTTTTATTAATGTTAGTCTTACCAATCTTTCAGCAGAAGAAACATTTTCTCAACTTGTGTCACTAAAAGATGTACTGTGGATTAAATATTGTAATTACACTTTCGACATCTAGATATGGATGCCGGCAAATTTAATTGTTTGGCATGTAAAAAACAAAATCTCTAAGAAATCTCTGAATGATCATACCTTACCAGATGATATTTTTTTAATTAGACCAGAAAGTTCTGATATATTTACATGCAGTATGTCAAAGATATCATTATGTAGCCTGAGGATACAATAAAAAACTGTCTTTTGTTGTGGAGAAATGTTAGCAATAAAAAAAGAACAGCTTATTTTACATGTGCAAAACACCACACCATATTGCTTTAAACCAAAAAGCTCCAAATGTCTATATTGCCTTATCTATAGGCAGAGAAAGAATTTGTATTCAGAATTAACCCAAAGAACTTTAATTCATAACTTCAACACTGTTTATAAGATTAGCATATATTTTTAAGCTAGAATTTCCAATGTTGTTACCAATTTTGAACCAAGTTTAGATCATCCCATGTAATTTCCATTGCCCACATTTTTAATATTCAGTTGACATCCACATGATTTTCATATCCAACAAGAAATTAAATACCAGTAGGAAAAATGTGCTATTCAACTTATTTCAACAAACACTTATTCTTCCAGCTACAAGTTTATGGAACTATCTTAAACATGGTTATTCACATACAAGCTCAGTGCATTATACAGTTACTTTCTGCAACTGTAATGGGAGTTTTTGTCACTTCCTTCCTTCCCTGCCTACATCACAATCTGTTCCTGAAGAGTCTACAAGCTTTTACAGTACCTTTGCAGAGGAGTAAATGAATATCTTTTGGGAAGGTGGTATAGGAAAAGAATCGGCAAAGTTGGAGAATGGGCAGAATTAATGAGTCATCAGCCTGAGTCATTACCTTCTCACAAACAATCCACATCCAATCCCTCTTGAACCCTGTTGACCCTCATCTACCACCAATTTTCCTCTGGATGTTAATTGACTATATTCTTGTATATAGGCGTGAGCAATAAATCGTCTTGCCTGTGACTTAACGTATGATCCTGATTCTTTGTATCTAACAGGCAGAGAAAGCAGAGTTGCAGGGGAGACTTATTAGGATCCCATCTGTAGAACCTTCACTTGTACTCCATACTAAATCTGTTTAAAAATTGAGTTGCACAGCATGTACTGCAACTTGTGACAAAGGAGAGCCTAAGCTGTTTTGAAATGCATATAAAAACTGTAAATATGGACATATAACTATGAGGGGTTAAATCCACATTTTAAGAGCTTAAAGAGTAGTTGCTTTGTTCCTGATTCGGATGCAAGGTACCCTGGCAATTAGTAACCAAAAATGTTTTAGAATGGTAGGAGGAAACCCAAATATTTATAACCAGAGAAAGAAGAGGACAAAATGTATAGTTCAGAAAGATAATAAAAAAGAGAAAGAAGAATAGAAGGATCTTAGATGGAATATGTACATTAAAAGAAAGCTTCTAAAAGTCAATATGAATATAATGAAGATGAGAAACAAACAAACAAAAAATACAACTAGCTACAGTCAATCTAAGTAGTTAAACCGCATGAGATAGCATAATGTACTGTATATTTAATAACTAAAGCTCTTATTTTTAAATTTTGTTTACATTTAGGGTTTTTTGTATTTTAATTATTTTTTTTTACTTTTCCATGAAAACCAATTAGACTAACTCCTTATCCCCGATACCTAATAAGCATTTAATCAAAAGGATAATTGTAAATGAATTGTTGACAATGGAATTTACAGAAAAATAAATTGAGGCTGGTGAGATTAAGATTGTGGAATGAGAACTGCAATTTAAAAGTGTAATTAAAAGATAACTCTGGGACTGAAACATTCAATGAGATAGTTATCTGGTAGGGCGAGGAGGGAAGCTTCAAATAAATATTCTATGTAGCTCCAGTGCCAAGCCAAAGAATTAGAGAGCACCTATTTCATCACAAATAAAAATCATGGTAAATTTCATATACAGCAAAATGATACAGTTTCTTTAAAGTCAGTTATTGCAAAGATTCAGCCTTTTTTAATTTCTACCACAATTATTACTTTCTGATCATCAGCACTAGCATCATCCCCAGAATATATTTAGCTTCCATTTTGCTTTTGTCTTCAAAATGTATGTTTTGCAATACCCTTCAGAGTTACTTTCCTGATAAATATTATAAACTCTTTAATGTGACTTCTTACCTTCAATACCCTTCTACTTAACAGTAGATGCTTACAGTGTAGATACATAGATATGAACAGGAAAACTTCCCCCCCCCCCAAAATATCAGTTTAATTGCGATGTTTTCATTTTAGTATATTCCTTTGGTATGTATTAGCAGTAATTATTATAATAATTCACTCCATAATGATAATACTTATGGCTTAATTTATCTGAGATTCTGTTACTCAACAATCTTTCTCAAGAAGTGTTTATTAGAAAAAGTATGCTTACTATGTTCCTTTTGGTGTAAAGATTATGTTTCTCTACTTTTACTGACAACTGTTTAAAAATGTATGTAACATTGACATTGATTTCACAAAGGAAAGCAATAACACAGAACAGTTCAAGCCAAATATGTCTCCAGTCTCTTTTACTTTTTTGAAATGAACTGTAGTTCAGCATTCCAATTTGACAGGCACATTGCACAAAGTGTAAAAACCTGATATTGAAATGCAAAATAGGCAACAAGCCATATAGTACTGGGAGGCAGAACAATTATACAGCAATTTAACTCTTTTTAAATATGGAATGAATGTAAAATGATGAAATCAAGCACATGTCCAGGCTTGTCAGAAACCCAGGGAGAATGAATTGTTTATATATTTTCATTAAAAAAACCTTTAAGAAATCTATCAACATAACTTACACTGTAGGGGTGCTAAACCATCAATCCATTTGTTTAATACATTTCTACAATTTTGAAGAAAGTAATTATTTTTCCAGCTCAGTATTTTAAAGGACTACATAAACCACTCTGCAGGGACACTTTGCATGGCAAAAACACATAAATTTTTATGAATAATTGAATAAGTAAATTGTACAGTGTGACACTTTTATCTACTTAAAAAAACCTTCACTTTTCTGTTTACTTCTATTTGAATCAGATTGTTCTATGACTTAAGTCTACTTCTCACACATTTTATAAACTTATAAATAGCAAGGAAAGTTCAGGAACAAATAACAACTGGTCTAATCCATTCTTCCCCTATAGTTGCCCTCCAGATGTGTTGGTTGAGTGATTTGGGAAGTTGGAATATGCAACAAAATATCAGTCAGGCCATGACCCATCATAAATGACTACTTTATTTCTCCTGGTGGACATTAGATGCTTTTGAGGTGCTTATAGGTTGGAGACATAAATTTCTTCTGACATTTATTCTGTGCACCTAGTATTTAACTCCAGTTGTTTATTAGGAGAAACTAAGTGCCAAGTGAGGGTGCTTACATGGTGCCTTTTCCAGCTGTTCAATAAAATGTGTCTGCCAGCTAAACCAAAAGTGATTGAATTCTATTTTTCATTTTCCACTGTTCCACTATAAATAAAGGTGTGAAAAAGTTTTTTGATCCAGCTGCTGCTGAAAATGTTTATTGTTATGGGATCATCTAAATCAGTGGTTCTCAAACTTTCTAATGCCGTGACCCCATAATACAGTTCCCCATGTTGTGGTGACCCCCAAGTGGGTGTGGCCACCAATAAGAGGGAATAGGACAGCTAGGGAAAAGGGAAAAAAAATGGCGGACAGCGTGGTTTGGCGACCCCCGTGAAATGGTCGTTCGACCCCAAATGGGGTCCCGACCCACAGGTTGAGAACCACTGATCTAAATTAAAGCACTTTCGGTCATTCCAATCTTTTTAATTTTTCTAGATTTTAGAAAAGTAGGTCAACGAACCTCAAAGATGACGTTCCTGCCTATGGTTTCAGTATGTCCTATCTGCAACCTATGATAGAGATAACAATAGCAATAGCATTTAAGACTTATATACCACTTCACAGTGCTTTACAGCCCTCTCTAAACGGTTTACAGGGTCAGCATGGTGCCCCCAACAATCTAGGTCCTCAGTTCATCGACCTTGGAAGGGTGGAAGGCTGAGTCAACCTTGAGCCAGTGAGAATCTAATTGCTGGCAGTCGGCAGAATTAGCCTGCAAATTTGCATTCTAATCACTGCACCAAAACAGCTCACTGGCATATCTCTCACTTTGTTCTATTTTGATTTTTTAAAATTAAAATCCCCATTTTTAATTAACATTTCAGTTATTAAAAATTATATTCTGTCTTTCATAGAGGAGTTCAAGGCATAGCCCTTCCGTCTTGCTTTATTCCCCATAACAACCCTATGAAGTAAGTTGGGC